AGTGATGTGCCACATACGGGAATGTCGGAAATTGCTTTGAAATAGCAAAGTTTGTGTTGACAGACATTTAAAAATGTACAGCCCTTTGCACAGCCACTGCTAGATAAAGGCCTCCCCACGCCACGTTTGGCACGGGAGTCCTTTGGCCAAAATCACCACGCCGGTCAGTACAGGTCGATGAAGGGAATGACCCAGGCCCTAGTTCAGATATGATCCGCCACGGTTAGCCCTGGTGCCGAATGAAACTCAGAATGAAAGGGCACCACGGTGGCGAGATGTCGTCTCCTTTGCCTGGTACGCAGGAGGTCGTGGGTTCGATCCTGACCCTGACGATGCCTGTTGTCTATTTGGAGTTGGCGTGTTCTACCCAGTGATCGCGCGGATTTTTCTCCGGGTTCCTCCGGGTTTCACCTCGACGTTTACAAGCATTCGTTTGGAGTGTTTGGCCGCTACGATAAATTCCCACGTGTGATGATAGAAGCCACTTTAATGAGCTATGAAGTGTGTCCAGGTCGCCTCTAAAAACGAGCTCATTGGGTTTTACCTGGTAAATAAAATAGTTATCGTTATAAATTCGGCTTGTCAGACTACATTCCGGGTTCATAGTGCAGTACACCGAACCACCGCACCACCGTTCCAACATTTAATTGTAGCACTGTTTTGCAAGTGTCTAGTGATTCGTCGATTTGACAATACTTGCTTCGAAAATTGTGCGTGCACGAATATGTATCTTTACATTTCATGAAGATGATATGCACATGTTCCACTTGGGCGAGTGGTTGAAAAAGACGAAAGAAATACGACAGAACGAACGAGGCAGCCAATCGCAAATGAGAGGGTAAAAACAAGGCCACCAAGGATCGAGTTGCGATCTGAATCCTGCCTATTCATGAAAGCGCGAGGCGCACGGTAGGCTGGGAGATTCATCTATACATGGCCTGTATATTGCACAAAAACTATAACTTGGGTCTGTCATATTTTTGCGGTGTACGTCAACTCCCGTTGGCAGGAGCTCCAAGTGGGAAAATCAACTCCACGTGGGCCACACATGTCTGCTTTGAAACGTTACGCCCGTGTCGATCAAAATGGGCTTCAGAAGCAAACAAGCTCAGCCACTGTTTGGTTGTCGGAGCACCAAGCCATAGGATTCCTTCCCACAGAACATCAGATGCTCTTCATAAAATGCACAGTTCTTTGCTGGGGTCGTAAAGTGCCGTTTCAAGGGCAGGGGGCCTCAGAGATCTCCCGTGACCTTTCCCCCTCCATCTTCCCCACCTCTGCTCCCCAGTCGCCCTCCCGAAAATAAATAACGAAACGTAAATAAATAAAAAATCGAATAAATTGTAATCTTAAGTGACAGTTCCTCCACGAATGCGTTTTAAAGAGGGTATTGTATTTCTTTCCGTGTGCAAATTGTGATTTTTGTGGATGTTACAATTTCCACTTACTGAACGCACCGCCACAGCCGGACGTTTATTCGACATGTCGTCGTTTTGTACCCAGCTAATGTGTTGTTTTGTTTAAGTGTAACTTTGCCGTTGGATGGAAAAAAGGAACCCGAACATGGCAACACGGTCACGCAAGTCAACTTACATTGTGAGGTCGCACTCGTTACGCACAAAGTGCTGGCCGCAAGTGAACCACAGGACCTCGCTGATCTCGTCACGGAGCACAAACCACCACCTCAACTCCGGTCATCCTTGCAGCAGCAGCAGCGGCAGCAGCAGCAGCGGCACCAGCAGCGGCAGCAGCAGCGGCACCAGCAGCGGCAGCAGTAGCGGCAGCAGCGGCGGCAGCAGCGGCAGCAGCAGCAGCAGCGGCAGCAGCAGCAGCAGCGGCAGCGGCAGCGGCAGCAGCGGCTTTTGGCTGCTGGTCATCGAACGGAGACGGTCACCGCATCGCGCGCTTTCGGATGCGCTTCTGCGGCCGTCTGGAACGCTCTTCCTTCCGATAATGGGAAGCCACTGGAACTGCGCACTTTTAAATCATCTAGATTGAAAACTCATTTATTTAGAGCTTCTTTTTGTGTTTAGTTTGTTGTCCTTCCCCCGCACCTCCGATTAGCACGGCTGGCTACGTACGGTGTGAAAGAAGTTTAACATACATACAAGTCACGTATTTTTTCTACCCACCCCCGCCCCCGGTTAATTCTCCGTCGCACACGGTTGGTACATTCGTAAAGAAATTAAACTCGACACGTGGGAGCTCTAGCGATGACGTGCGCGGAACGAAGGCACGCTACTCCGATTTGCAGATTGGTCACGGTTGGTAGGATGCGCGCACCTCCGATTTGCACGGTTGGCTATGTACGGTGCGAAAGAAGTTAAACGTTCATAGGTGCGTGCTCGCTGCTCGGCTCTCGGCGGCACACTGACAGCCGTTGTCCCGGGCGTGATTGACAGCCCGAGTGTGACCAATTCTAGGGACAACTGGGGGGGGATGGTGAGCGAGAGAGACAAAAGACTTCCACTGTTGTCAACAGGGGGGATGGGAGGGGGGATTGCCCTTTGTTCTTTTGACCTCTTGAGCCATAATTTAAAAAAAGAGCCCTAATTAAACTTCGCAGACCTTCGGCAGTGGAGAGCATTCACACGGCCACATCACCCTTTTTGGCAGTCGCTGTGGGGGATGGTTGTAAACGTCGCTTTGCTTGGCTTTTTCTCTTTCAGATGCGTTAATATTTGTACCTATCTGATACATTGGTGAAGACACTGGGTTGATTTCCTTGCAGCCGGGCCGCTCCTGGATTGCTGGCTTTCTGAGGCTCGGCCATTTACGCTGAACCCTGAGAATGCTTCAGATGCCTTCGTCTGGATCTGCATCAGTGCAACAGTTGACATCGAGGTGTGTGCGCACGTGTATATTTATGCGCGGGTGACTCCGTGTCTGTATTCTTGCATACGTGTTGGAGCTGAAGAGGTAAAAAAACGCAAAGGTGCAGCCCTGCAAGTGCCAGCTCACGCCACGGTTGTGGGAAGGGCCTCTGCTGGAAGGGCCTCCGTATGTGGCTCACTCTCCCACACTGGTCAGAGCATTTTATCTAAATATCAAAAGTGCTCTTTAACTTTACCTTCATGAAACTTGCACATTGAATTGAAGTAAGCCACTAATACAAATGAAAGCACAATAATAATTCTATCTGCAGGACATCGTGATGCCTTGCATGGCATATAACTTATGAATATATGGCTACGCAAAACCAGCGTGGGTCAGTGTGCGTCGCCATTTACGGATCCAGTGTTGCAAATTCCAACATTTTTTTTGGCAGAGGTCAGCAAATCCATCAGAGCAATCGCTGTTGATTTTCCAGAGTGGTACGTATGCCTTTTGGCGTCCTCTGGTCTAACACCGTTTGAGACGAGGCTCAAAAGAAAGCTGTCTCTGGTGTGGACGAATCAGTTTCAAAGACTATGCATATATTATCAGTGTGTTTTTTGTTTGCATTCTGACCACAAGCATTGTGGTTAATGCAGACATGATTCCTTGTAAAAGGTTTCAGTTTGGTGTTTTAACATCCTAATACCTTAATTCTAGATTTGAAGCTTTCGTGACTGCAAGGATTCATACTCTTAGTTCTTTCGGTAAAGTCACGTAGGTAAAAAATGAAATTAAAATTAATAAAAAGAAAGTAAAAAAATCATTATTTATTTATTTTTAAAATAAATAAAAATAATAAAAATTCTTACTTTTTATTTCATTTTTTACCTACGTGACTTTACCGAAAGAACTAAGAGTATGAATCCTAATACCTGTTTTTTGCCAGAAAAAAGGGGAACAACCTTTTACGATGGTACTCATTTTATCGACCCCGGAGATGAAGCCAGGTTGATGCAATCTCCCTCCCTCCCGTCCAACATTAATTTTTGAGCCGCTGCCCGCGTGCTATTTCCACAGCGCTGTCCAGATGGGTTTGTGGCCATCGTTTGGTTTTCTAAATGAACAGAAAAGTCAAGGGACCGGAATTGGCAGTGGTGCCCAAGTACACATTTTTTTAAAAAGAGCAACACTCCCCACATTCATCATTGACACTGCCTTACAACAGGAAAATATGTAAAAATACTGATTTAATATGCCGTGACTTAAAGGGCAGAAAGATGCGTGACTTTCCAAGGGTTTGTTTGATACTCATGGGCAAATAATAGTCAACTGCTCGCGTGCGAATTCAAAAACCCTTCATTTGGCAACAATCTCAAAAATGCCAATTTTTCTCCAGACCAGTGGTGGTGTGATCTTTAACTGAATACCAGTCACTCCCTCGCTCTCTGCCCTCCGCGGCTCTCTCCGAAGATGGGCCCAGATACGTCAGCCCCACTCTACGATTTCTCTCATTCACAATGCAGTGACGGCAATAAACGTGGTGACGAGTGTGTGTGTGTGTTGGGGAGCGGTGGTGTAGCGGTTGGCGCGCTGCGCTATGAACCTAGCGACCCGAGCTCGATTCCCGCTCACGGCCAACACCAGTGACGGTTATCTGAACCGGTCCTGGGCCTCCTCTAGGTCGACTCAGCCTGAAATGAGCACCCGGTGCAGTGTGTAAGCATCGCCACTGGGGAGACAAAGGCGGTCGGGCGAGGTGCTGGCCCACCCACCACCTCGTGTACCGTTCCGGCCTTCATAGGTGCTCGCTAACAGCACTTGCCCCTACAGTCTGTTAAGGCTATACGGGTGATCTTTGTCTCACGGTGATTTTTTACAAACTGCTTGACGACATCTTCTTGGTTCTTTCGGTAAAGCTACGTAGAATGGAAATAATAATATAATAAAAATAAAACATAATAAAATAATTCTCACGACGTTTCGGCCACAACGCAAGCAGCCGTCCTCAGGTGAAGAACAGGTCTGTCAGAAAGACAGCGTCTGAATGAACACCACCAGGCTTGGCAGCATATATTTAAGCTGGGTTGGAGGGGGAAGAGCGCCTTGACAAAGTAATTTGCATATGCTTGACGACAGTGAATGAAACGGACGCGCGTCGGCGAAAGAAGTTCGCAAGCACCGAGTCGATAAAAACACTTTTATTGAGTAGCTTTGGCGACGTCAGCAATCAAATCGACGTCCAGAATTTGCGCCCACGCGGAGATGCATGCAGTAAAAAAAAAACCGTTCAAGTCGACTGCACACACGGATGGTCTACGGGAATCCGATATGTCATCAAGCAGACACTATTATACATTTTTATTCGTAAAGGAAAAAAAATATATCTTAATTTTACAAATTCCGGGATGGCCGACTGATGCATTGCTTGGGTAATGTCTTTTCACATCGTACCCTCGTCGGGATTCATCTAAACAAGTGGACAAAATCCGGCTCATGTACCACCCCCACGGGAAACGTGGAACATTCCAAAATAAACACTGCTCATCTGCAGTGAGCCGTGCCAATGCACCGCTTGCAGGGATGTTCAATTTGGAATGTTCCACAAACAAGGAGGTGATGGGGGGATTTTAACCCAAGGATAAGCCCAAGCGTTGATCTCAAGGTACGCCAAGGATGGGCTATGTGGTGTCAGCTTATCAATGAATGAAAACATACATTGTCCCTTAAAATGAGGGATGGTATTTCCTCTACATTGATTCGTGGTAAATGCACAGCCGCTGAAGTTTAGAATTGCCGTGATGTCGTTCGGGAGAGAATGAAGGTAAAAATAAAACTGTACAAAAATACAGTGGCTTTCGATGATCAATTCTGAGTGGGTTTACACGTTGAGGCAGATTCAAATGTGCGGCATTAATATTTGCAACGTAAATAATACAAGAAGAAAAAAAAAACATTGGCAGTATGATATTCAAAACAAATAATAATGATAAGGAAAAAAAACGTCATACATTCTACAACACATTACAAACGACTATATGTGTTTATCTGACATACAGCGGAACCTGTTCAATAAGCGAACACACGAGAAAATGGTAAAGACACCCACAGGATAATATAAGAGAGATATCACGTGCAGATTGCTTTAAAATGGTTTGGATAGAGCTCAGTTTTTTTGGGGACAGCATGGTTCCCAAATCGTGAGGTTGATGAGTTAAATCCTGGTCAAGGTCAGCTCAGCGCCAGCACCGTCATCATCATCATTCGACGTCACCTCTCTGGGGCCTGTACATTAGCACCATTTGGTGAGGCTGCTATCCACAGGTTGGAGGATGAACAGTGGTTTCCATAGGAATGTGGAATTTCCATCACCGGTTCAAAGGAGAGAATCACCACACAGTGTCCGTTAGAACAGAGAAAATCTGACTTAATTCATTTGAAAACGTGTCGCCTTACTGTGGCTGTGTGGTTGGAAGCCTTGTTTGCCGCAGCAACAACGCGTCGCTTTAATTCCATTGTAGTTTCAAGCATTAACCTGCGGTGACCCTAACTGACATTTGACCTTCCCTGGTGCCCTCGCCCCTCCCAATGGATTGCCAATAACCCGCGGTGACCCTGACTGACATTTGACCTTCCCTGGTGCCCTCAACCCCCCTTCCCTCCCCTCCCAATGGGTTGCCAACAACGCCAAATCGTTTGGCTTCTCAGATGCGTTTTCCGGCGGTGTTCTCGCGTCGTTTTGGCAGCAATGCCGGACGTCTCGCCCCACGCGATGGGTGCATTTTTCAGGAGCCAAAGGTGGAGCGGCTCAAGCTCTGTCCTCAACACGCAGCCGCTCGGCAAAAGAAAAGAAAAAAACCCTTCCAGAGCAGGAAGAGTACCGGCCACTGTTGTTTTCTTGTTGTTGTTGCGCGGAGGTATTTAACATTCTGAAATCCCGTTTATCCGAAAGTGCCCCTCGGCTTGGAAAAATGGCACAAGTGGGGCGTCGCTCACGTCTGCTGTGACGCAAGAGAGCGCCGTTTGAAGCTTCGCGCTTCCACAGAAGAATGGCATTAAGTCGTACGAGTGCTCCCGATGTTTTTCCTCGCCGGCTCACTTCGCCGTCGGGAGTTTTCTTTTCAGCGAGCCTATCGTCAAGAGCCACGTGGAGCCATCAGCGGCAGAGTCGGCCGCGAGCTCACTCCATTAGCTTGGGCACGCAACCTCGCAACGGCCATTACCTGACTGCGAATGTTAAACAAAGCTCCAATTAAGGTCATATCGCCAAGAATTGTTTTTTTCATATCCATCTATTTAGAATTTTTTTTTAATCTTCATATCTTGTGGATAATTATTGCAGTTGTAACAATTGGCTACACGTTAATATCGTATCGATTAAATAAGCAATATATTTTATTGCATGTAGATAAGAGTATAAATAAAATACAAACTCAACTGACTATATGTGAATATAGTTGTTCAGCGGTTAGCAGACTGCACTATGAACCTGGTGGTCTGAGTGGATGACTAACGTCACCCACACCGCAGTGACCGTCGGGGTGAAGTATGGTCAAACAACCACTACGACCAACACACCATGGGGAGGTCCTAATCCACCAGTGGATTGACAGGGAACTGTGAGTTTAAGTTTAAATACGGCGTGTAATGATACAGAGCAAAAGCGCTCCCACGGTAGAACAAGTTTCTGATGCCATACATGGCTGTTGACTGCGATGGAAATTCCACATTCCCATGATGGAAAACCAGTCTATCCATAGTAGCGCTCATTTTAATAACCCCTAAGGTGACGACGAGCTGAGTTGACCTCAAAACCAGACTGCGTATGTATAAGCTTTGTACACGCACACACTCGCACACGCTCGCGCACACTCGTACGGGCTTATCCGCGGCAGTGCTTGCGTTGCGGTGTACCGCGTTGCTTTTTAAATCCTTTATATTAAGTTCGCTTGCTTGCTTAGGACCGTGCAAATCTTTCACTCGTTTTTTAACCCACTTCCCGTGATCCAATCGAGCTGACATTTTGCACACCGGCTCGTTGTGCGTGACAATTAATGTTCGTGAAAAATTTTTCCAAAAATTTTACACTTTTTAGGATAAAAATATTATATTTAATTACCAATTGCTTAATGGTGCCATGCAATCATCTGACCCATAGGTGGCATCCATCTCAAGCCAGAGGACGAGAGGACTCTAGCCGCCACGCATATAAAGGATTTATAGTGAAAAACTTAGTTTTTACGGGTTATACTTATTCAAGTCTGCCGTGGCCGCGTGTGAGTCGTTCGCCTTTGCCGTTGAGGCGCGAGAGACGAGAAGGCCGAATAAGAGCAAAGCGTTGTGGCTCGCTTGCCTTCATTGACTCTGGGGGGGGGGTGCGTTGGGACCGTGTCCACAAAATCGCGGCGGAGTGCGTGACCGGCGGTGACCTCATAAGCGGCACGCACCGCGCCGCGACTCCGTCCCCGATAGCCAACGACGTCGAGCCGAGGGGCTGGGGGAGTTGTTGTTTTTTTGTACATCTCTCGAAGACAGGTTCCGCCGTACCTACTATTTCTCAATTAAAATCCGTGCATACAAAAGAGAAACCTGAATATGGAATTAATGTGCTCAACTGTGACCCTGGTAAGTTCTTCTTCTGAACACCCTCTTGTTGCTTCTGTTCGTGTTTTCACCACGTGGCGTCCGCAGTCCGACCGTCCTCACATGCGCCTCGGTCTCTGCGGGGGGTGGGAGAAACGTCAGGGCACACGTAGAAGTACGGCGGCGCGACGCGGTGCAGCGGTGCAGCGGTGAGGGCCGTCGCCTCCCCACACCGTGCGGGTCTAGGAGCGCTATTTGACCATACTTTAGGGTTGCTGAAGGCCGGGGAGTATAGACGTGGAAGCGTAGAAGTGCAGTGCAACAGTGACCTTTGCTGCACTGATTGCTGCTGCTGCAACAACGGTGTTTTTTTTTTTAGGAGTTTGACAGAAACGTTTAGATAGATGGATGCCCGATAGCTCGGCCCTAAATGGTGACAAGCCTCTACCAGTTAATAACCAAGATCCCCCGTAACCCCAAGGCGCTACTGCTGATCTGAGCACCGGGCTATGAATATCGCCGCGTAAAATTAACGCCGCTAAAGGCGCATGAAAATATAGTGCCCTCCTAAATTTAACCTGACATGCTTCGTGTGAACTGCTTGAGCGTACGGAAATAAACGCATCCCAAGTGTTTGGGTGAAGAGTGAGGGGCGCTGTCGCTCCGTTGCGTGTTGTCGCTGCGTTCCGTGTTTTGCAAACCAACGCTGAGAGTGAGGGAAGACGCCGCAGAGGGATTTATACGAAGCGATTGCTGTACGTGGATGTGGCTCTTGCTTTAACGCAAACACATACATCGCTAAATATGAAATACAAGCCATTCAATGCACCAATTGCGTACGAATCACAAGCGATGCGATGCACGCATCGTGAGCCTAACAATCGATATTGATGAAGGAATCGATGTATCCTTACACTCGGGGATTCATTTCAGCTCGATATGTCCGGGTCAGGGACCCAGAGGATAGACCTGCACGGGACACTGCACATCCTGTACCAGATCCATTAGCGCGGTTGGCTACGTACGGTGTGAAAGAAATTCAACATACATATGCCGCATCAATTACGGCTGTGTCTACCAATCACGCGACCTACTCCTCTCCACCAGCGATCTGGAATACGTTCAATGAGAAACTAATCCCTGGTTACACCCTAATTTTGACAGATGTTCGTATGAGGATGATTGTTGACATACCGGCTATTCATACAATGTAGTGAAAGAGTAAAGCATGTCTAGACACACACACACACACCGTCCCACATCAAAAACCAAAACCACTCCTGCAACAACAACCGCCGTTCGCCGCTAAGTGGCGGTCACGTCACCACGTTGCTTGTGCCAGGATAGGTGCACACTCAGCCGCAGTCGCGGTGTCGCAAACATGCAGAGAGATATAACGACATCTTTCTGGCCCTTTTCGTTTTGTTTCGGGCCATATTAAATTGGTTTCGTATGTCAGCAGGAATTCAACATACTGTAAGCTCCTATAGTAAAAAAAAAATATTTTTCTTTAAAGCAATTTTCCCGTGGAATCTGGAAGCTGCGGTCGGCGTACGGGAATCAGGTTCTTTGATGACTTTACTCCTCATGAGGCCACAGATTGATATCATCCCTCATCCCAAGTCACCCGAAAGTTTACACACGTTTAGCTTAAAATACCTCTGCACGATCATTATTAATAATAATGTATACGGAGTGCATTGTCGCACTTGTTTATTGTTTGCTATCCGCAGTCATAACTACGCCGTTACTGCCATAATTTTTGAAGCATGGCATGAATTATTTTTCTTTGAATTTGAGGCTTTTATTAAATGGCAGTGCTTCGATTCGTAGTTATACCTGACCCACTGTAACTATGTCAGATTCTCTCTCTCTCTCCGTAAACCTGAAGGGCAGTCGCCATACACGTCTCGTTCTTCACAGTGAAGGAGTCAACTTGTTACCAATGTTCCCCAGGTCATGACGGACTTCTCTCGCGATATTTTAAGCAACAGTTCGGTGCTGCGTTGTATAATCCAGTGGGTGTGCGTGCATGTGCTTGACGCAGTGGTTCGTGCACTATGCTACGAGTCCGGCGGACCGAGTTCGATTCCCGTTGACTGACCAACACCAGTGACGATTATCTGATCCGGTCCTGGGCCTCCCTTAAGTCGACTCAGCCTAAATTATTTTACTTCGTGCGATGTGTGTACATCACCACTCGGGAGACAAAGACGGCCAGGCGTGGTGCTGGCCACCCCACCCCATCATGTGCCGTGCCGGCCTTTAACGTTGCTACTCGCTAACAGCACGTGCGCCAACAGTCTGTTCAGGCTACACGGAGGATCATTGTTTTTGTGACCAGATTTGTCCACCTTTATCGATCCGGGGCACACGTTTGAGGTGTTTATTTCCTTCCTTGGCATCTTAAAAGCCGGAGAACATGGTGTGACCGTCTATATATTTTTTTAACCGAACCTGTTAATGTGTTGCACCGTTGCCGTCATCATAATTCTCTTTCAGGGCCGCCCCAATTTGGTCCCGTGAGCCATTCGGTAGCCCTGCAGAGCAAAACGTCGATGCCAAACATGGAGAAGCAGCAACTCCCTTGAACCTTGCGGGTCGGCTCTCTCGGCCCGATTCATTCCCATCAAGCGGCACGTAGTCTTCTCTTGAGCTTCGTGCGTGATTCCCCTCCCGCCCCCAATTACTCAAACTACGTAAGTGGAGCGTATTTACAGCAGGAAGACATTGCCGAGGAGCCTTACAGACGAGGAAAATACGAACACTTTCTTCGTGCACACGGCCTGAGGAGTAAGCTCGACGGTAAAAGATAAACACCTGATACAAATTGAAAACAGTCACTGAAAATGTTGGGTTATTTTCCGCCAGTCAATTTATGACAAGGTGGCTTCCTAATATCGGAAGGAAGAGCGTTCCAGATGGCCGCAGAAGCGCGTCTGAAAGCTGTGACCCGGTTAAAATCACTCGTGTCAATTGTGATCCAACATATGACCCAACTATTAACTTCTCCCAACTCTGGGCTCTCGGGTGACCGTCAGGTAGCTACGCTATGAACCTGGCGTGATGTCTGCATGCCCAGTTGGGGCGTTGGTATCAGTGCGTGTGTGGCAGTGAGATGGAGTTTGGCATTTGCAGGAGGACTGCGAGGAACGGCGTGGAGAGAGGTCTGCTACCAACCGTGGGCAGACAATGGATGATCGTGATTATGATGATGAATACACAACGGTTGATGCTTGTGATAATTGAGTCATTCATCCAGCAGTTGACAACACATGGCCCTTGCTGCTGATGGTTTAAATGAATTGAATAAAAAAACATACTTTTAAATGCAAACGTTTCCCGAATCTTTTGTTTACGAACGGTACAACACCAAATTTCCAAAAATATTCTAAACATTATGCATTTACACGCTCTAAATTGAAATCTCACAAGGACAATTTTTAGCTTTTCCACAAGCAAAAGACTATTTCTTTGCGAGTAATATATATAAAAAAGGCGTACAGGTAAAGGTGCAGCCCTGCAATTTCCTGCTCACGCCACTGCTGGCGGAAGGGCCTCCACTGGAGCGAGCTCTTGAGGCGGGAGTACTCGCACTTTACCCCACCGCACGCCAGAGTTCGCAAACGGGTTTTGATTCCTTACCCGTACCCGGCCGCACCAGGGTCGCAAATGGGTACCCGTACCCGGCCAGGTACGGGTACCCGTTCCCTACCCGTACCCTACCCGAAATGCGTGACAAACGGCTACTCACCAGTGACTCACGGTCTACCCGTACCCGTACCCGGCCGCACCAGGGTCGCAAACGGCTACCCGTACCCATACCCGGCCGGGTACGGGTAGCTGGGTATCGGGTAGGGTACGGGTATCGGGTACCCGGTTGCGACCTCTGCCGCACGCAACCTGCCAATCGACTAACTGCGGAGAACACATTTATGCTGCTGCTGCTGCTTCTGCGTGGGCAGAGGCGGCGCGAGGTGGGAGGGTTAAATGAACTCGTGCCATTGTTTCCACTGCCGTGCCTGGGAGATCAAATCGAAGTGGCCACCTCTGGACTGCTGACGTCTTGACTGCAAGTCCAGTGTGATGGTGGGCCATTAAACTATGAACTCAAACTTTACATTTTAGCAGGTAAGGCCCCAACTGAGCTACATAGCTCTTTTACAGAAGTGATCTGGCCATCGCATGTGATAGCTTAACGAAGTCGCTTATTGCGTGGACATTTACAGCAGCCAAAGAATTTAAACGCGCGTTGATTCTAAATGTGGAGGGAAAAACCGGAGGACCCCGGGCAAAAATCCACGCGACCGTGGGAAGAAAATTCAAGCTACAAATATACAGATATACAGCATCAGGGTCAGGATGGAACCCACCACCTCCTGTATACCAGGCGAGGTAGTTAACATCTCACCACGGCAGCCATCCCCCGTGTGTTTTGTCCATCTGTTGATGAAACTGTTGATGAATAATTGATTGTAACTACAAGTAAACCACGTCCGATGGTGATCGACGTGCGTCTCACCAGAGTGTGTTTTCGTCCAGTTAAGCGCTGAAAGATCGCGAGCTGTTCGTCAGTCATTGGCCGATCGTTCACCATGGCATTGGTCCATTGAGCTGCAACGACAACACAGCGATACATTAACACGTGGCCAAGACGTGGATTCTAGATTTGAAGCTTTCGTGACTGCAAGGATTCATACTTTTCGTTTTTTCGGTAAAGTCACGTAGGTAAAAAAATTGAAATAAAAATTAATAAAAATAAAATAATAAAAATAAAATAATAAAAATCACGACGTTTCGGAGGCAACACAAGTCTTCCGTCATCAGGTGGGACCGTCACAGCCAGATTTGCTGTATCAAGATCAAGTATCAAGATCAAGATACAGCAAATCTGGCTGTGACTGTCCCACCTGATGACGGAGACTTGTGTTGCCTCCGAAACGTCGTGATTTTTATTATTTTATTTTTTATTTAATTTTTTTTACCTACGTGACTTTACCAAAAAAACTAAGAGTACAAGACGTGGATGTCCCCCCCCCCCGTCCCGGTCCGAGCCACATCCTGTTTACATTCCACCTCCCTCCCCACCCCCCCCCCCCAAGTTCCGCTTACAACATCTCCACATCTTTAATTGTCCTCATTTAGGTCAATTAGCCGTGCCGGTCAGGGTAACATTGCTTACACGCACGGCACTGGTTGAGTGTGTGTCGGTGCATCCGTCTGCGCTGTTGAATAGATACATCGTGCGTACGGCAGTACATGTATGTAAACGTACCTCTTTGATGAAGCACTTATCTCCACAAAGTGTTAAGGAATTAACGATTCATCGATTAAAATCAATTGTAATGGTCACGATACATGGAGTGAATCGCGATAATTTAATTATTGGCAATTTTACGATGTCGTTGTGTGTAATTCGTGTGACTCCTACAGCCACTGGAGGTGCCTATATTGCACCTCATTGTTAACCAAAGAATCCCGTCTGGAATGATCTGGTGATCCAGAATGATGCCTTACTCCCTGCATTGCCATGGGCTTCTGTCCATCCAATATATACGAATTTACATACACTGCAAACGTTTAAAAAACTTGCAAATGTGTCTCCTGTATTTATTTGTACAAACGGATTCAGGCGCACCTTCGAACGCGATCATATTAAACTCTCCCCAGAGTTCTGCCTAAACAAACGCAGGCCTTAGTGCATGGAAATAGCCCGTTCACAAAGACAAGATTCCCCCGTGTAGCCTTGACAAACTGTTGGGCCAAGTATCTGTTGGCGAGCACCTATGTGGGCTGTAAATCTACCCAGGACATTAAGAGTCCTATACAGTATTTTTGTTTATCAGTTCACATAAATAATAATCATATAACACAATCCACAAACAACACATCTACACGCCGTTCTCCCCTCTCCCGGTATTGTAATGGTGTGTACCTCAGAGGTGACAACTCGAGGCGAGTGTGCATTTATGTTGAATTTCTTTCGCACAGTACGTAACCAAACCGTGTTAATTGGAGGTGCGGGGAGAAGGACAATTAACTGGACACAAAAAGCAGTTGTAAAGAAATGAGTTTTCAATCTAAATTATTTCAAAGTTCATCGCTCCAGTGGCTTCCGAATATCGGAGGGAAGAGCGTCCCAGCGCATCCGAAAGCGTTCGATGCGGCGACCGTCTTTGTTCGGTGGCGAGAGCGTGAACGATGGGGGGGGGGGGACTCTTACCCCCGGGCAGAATGACGCCGTCAATAGCGTGAATCACTCCGTTCACACCCAAGATGTCGGCCTGCACCATCTTCTTGTTGTTCACGTAGGTGGTGCCATTCCTCTGCAATGGAAAAAATTAACCCGTAAAAACAAAGTTTTTCACTATAAATCCTTTATTTGCGTGGCGGCTAGAGTCCTCTCGTCCTCTGGCTTGAGATGGCTGCCACCTATGGGTCAGATGATTGCCTGCCACCATTAAGCAATTGGTAATTAAATATAATTTCTTTTTTCCTAAAAAGTGTAACATTTAGGAATTTTTTTTCACGAAAATAAATTGTCACGCACAACGAGTCTGTGTGCAAAATGTCTCGATTGGATCACGGGAAGTGGGTTAAAAAACGACTGAAAGATTTGCACGGTCGTAAGCGCGCAAGCAAGCAAGCAAACTTAATATAAAGGATTTAAAAAGACAAACACACAAGCGTCCGATGTTGCTTCGAGTCAACTGTGCTTGTATGTGCCGGGCCGAGTACATGCGCAGTCCCGTTTGCAACTCCACTGCTGGATGAGGGCTGCGGTGAGCGATGTGCTGCTGCACGCTTGTGAATTTATAGATTTGTTTTTAAAGGGAGCTCATTGATATTTATTGTTTTTGATGTTCATTGCATTGCCAAGGAAATAGTGCGTCCATACATCTGTCTGAGAACTTTTCCCTACATGATCTATCCCAAAATAAACGAATTATGAATCACTGAACGATATGATTCATCATACATAACAAAAATATTATAACTTTCGTGACAAGTTATTCCGGCAATACCTCATAGCGTTGTCAAAGAAAAACTCCAAAAACACTTGTAATGAATCAGCCTCCAAAAAACACGTAGCTATACCAAAAGCTTCAATTTCATGTCTCCCCAGAAACGTGTTACCTCATGAACCAATGCCACTTGGAAAACCGCGGCCTGCTTTGCACATTACTGAGTCATCAGTGAGGAGCGCGCTACTAATCATATATAATCAGTCAAGCTTCCCAGTAGCATTTGGTTGCTTAAAGAAATCTCAGAAATACCGCTGGGAAACATTAATCTTTAGGCCATGAGCGCTGATGAATCACACGTTGTTATTTTCAGTGATTTAGCCACCTCCCTTACGAACGTATATATTTGTTTGATTTGTGTACGGCAATGTGCTAAAGCAATACATCTAAAAAGCAGCCGCTCAATGACACAAGCAGCTAGACCCAAAGTCACGTTGGTGATTAGTGACGGTGATTATGGTGAAGCGAGACGGTGGTTGTGGTGAGGGGTGACGGTGGTTGTGGTGAGGGGTGGCGGTGGTTGTGGTGAGGGGTGGCGGTGGTTGTGGTGAGGGGTGGCGGTGGTTGTGGTGAGGGGTGGCGGTGGTTGTGGTGAGGGGTGACGGTGGTTGTGGTGAGTAGTGACGGTGGTTGTGGTGAGGGGTGGCGGTGGTTGTGGTGAGGGGTGGCGGTGGTTGTGGTCAGGGGTGGCGGTGGTTGTGGTGAGGGGTGGCGGTGGTTGTGGTGAGGGGTGGCGGTGGTTGTGGTGAGGGGTGGCGGTGGTTGTGGTGAGGGGTGGCGGTGGTTGTGGTGAGGGGTGACGGTGGTTGTGGTGAGTAGTGACGGTGGTTGTGGTGAGGGGTGGCGGTGGTTGTGGTGAGGGGTGGCGGTGGTTGTGGTCAGGGGTGGCGGTGGTTGTGGTGAGGGGTGGCGGGTGGTTGTGGTGAGTAGTGACGGTGGTTGTGGTGAGGGGTGGCGGTGGTTGTGGTGAGGGGTGGCGGTGGTTGTGGTGAGTAGTGACGGTGGTTGTGGTGAGGGGTGGCGGTGGTTGTGGTCAGGGGTGGCGGTGGTTGTGGTGAGGGGTGGCGGTGGTTGTGGTGAGGGGTGGCGGTGGTTGTGGTGAGGGGTGGCGGTGGTTGTGGTGAGGGGGTGGCGGTGGTTGTGGTGAGTAGTGACGGTGGTTGTGGTGAGGGGTGGCGGTGGTTGTGGTCAGGGGTGGCGGTGGTTGTGGTGAGGGGTGGCGGTGGTTGTGGTGAGGGGTGGCGGTGGTTGTGGTGAGGGGTGGCGGGTGGTTGTGGTGAGTAGTGACGGTGGTTGTGGTGAGGGGTGGCGGTGGTTGTGGTGAGGGGTGGCGGTGGTTGTGGTGAGTAGTGACGGTGGTTGTGGTGAGGGGTGGCGGTGGTTGTGGTGAGGGGTGGCGGGTGGTTGTGGTGAGTAGTGACGGTGGTTGTGGTGAGGGGTGGCGGTGGTTGTGGTGAGGGGTGGCGGTGGTTGTGGTGAGTAGTGACGGTGGTTGTGGTGAGGGGTGGCGGTGGTTGTGGTGAGGGGTGGCGGGTGGTTGTGGTGAGTAGTGACGGTGGTTGTGGTGAGGGGTGGCGGGTGGTTGTGGTGAGGGGTGGCGGTGGTTGTGGTGAGGGGTGGCGGGTGGTTGTGGTGAGTAGTGACGGTGGTTGTGGTGAGGGGTGGCGGTGGTTGTGGTGAGGGGTGGCGGTGGTTGTGGTGAGGGGTGGCGGTGGTTGTGGTGAGTAGTGACGGTGGTTGTGGTGAGGGGTGGCGGTGGTTGTGGTCAGGGGTGGCGGTGGTTGTGGTGAGGGGTGGCGGTGGTTGTGGTGAGGGGTGGCGGTGGTTGTGGTGAGGGGTGGCGGTGGTTGTGGTGAGGGGTGGCGGTGGTTGTGGTGAGTGGTGACGGTGGTTGTGGTGAGGGGTGGCGGTGGTTGTGGTCAGGGGTGGCGGTGGTTGTGGTGAGGGGTGGCGGTGGTTGTGGTGAGGGGTGGCGGTGGTTGTGGTGAGGGGTGGCGGGTGGTTGTGGTGAGTAGTGACGGTGGTTGTGGTGAGGGGTGGCGGTGGTTGTGGTGAGGGGTGGCGGTGGTTGTGGTGAGTAGTGGCGGTGGTTGTGGTGAGGGGTGGCGGTGGTTGTGGTGAGTAGTGGCGGTGGTTGTGGTGAGTAGTGGCGGTGGTTGTGGTGAGGGGTGGCGGTGGTTTGTGGTGAGGGGTGGCGGTGAGGGGTGGCGGTGAGGGGTGGCGGTGAGGGGTGGCGGTGAGAGGTGGCGGTGAGGGGTGGCGGTGAGGGGTGGCGGTGAGAGGTGGCGGTGAGGGGGTGGCGGTGAGGGGTGGCGGTGAGAGGTGGCGGTGAGGGGTGGCGGTGAGGGGTGGCGGTGAGAGGTGGCGGTGAGGGGTGGCGGTGAGGGGTTGGCGGTGAGGGGTGGCGGTGAGGGGTGGCGGTGAGGAGTGGCGGTGAGGGGTGGCGGTGAGGGGTGGCGGTGAGGAACGGCGGTGAGGGGGTGGCGGTGAGGAAGGCGGTGAGGGTGGCGGTGAGGGGTGGCGGTGAGAGGTGGCGGTGAGGGGTGGCGGTGAGGGGTGGCGGTGAGGGGTGGCGGTGAGGGGTGGCGGTGAGAGGTGGCGGTGAGGGGTGGCGGTGAGGGGTGGCGGTGAGAGGTGGCGGTGAGGGGTGGCGGTGAGGGGTGGCGGTGAGAGGTGGCGGTGAGAGGTGGCGGTGAGGGGTGGCGGTGAGGGGTGGCGGTGAGAGGTGGCGGTGAGGGGTGGCGGTGAGGGGTGGCGGTGAGGGGTGGCGGTGAGGGGTGGCGGTGAGGAGTGGCGGTGAGGGGTGGCGGTGAGGGGTGGCGGTGAGGAACGGCGGTGAGGGGTGGCGGTGAGGGGCGGCGGTGATTGTGGCGAGGCGAGCGCCGCCGTACCACGATGACGTCGAGGCGCGTGCCCTGCGCCGTCTTCACGAGGTTGCTGCCCACGGGGACGATGCCTCCGCTCACGAGGATGCCCTGGCTGACGTGGCCATTGATCAGAGCGGCCAGCTCCTTACGGTTCCCTGCGGGCGACGGAGAGATGCTCGACTCCAGCAGCTGTCGCCACCACATCCGCGGTGGCTCACACAGAACCACTCTGTTAGGCCTGGCGAACATTGGCCGAATAGGAGACCTTTGTGCGAGACACAGTGACTTGTGTCACCGCGCAAAGCCCTTGCAGAGCGGCAGAAGCGACTGAGAAATGATAGCCCAATGAAGTGGCTTTTTAAGTGGAACATTTTCGCAGCCAAATATTACAAACGCATGTTTTTTTTTTTTACACATGGAGGAGAAAAACCAGAAGACCCGGAAAAAAAATCTACGCGACCACGGAGAGAACATGGAAACTCTAAATATACACTCATTGTCAGGATCGGGATCGGGATCAAAACCACAACCTCCTGCATAGCAGGCGAAGCATTTAACATCTCGCCACCGCGTCACCCCATTTAACCATTACACACGAAGGGCAGCGTCCCAAGTTGGGGGGAAAAAAAAAGCTACGTAATAAAAGTGTGCTGGGGGGAGGGGGGGGCGCTGTGAGTGGGGGGGGGGGGGGGCGGGGGGGGGCGAAAAAAAGAGCGTCGCTCAGGGGAAGGGCAACGCACGCTTCAGTTTGGTGAGCTCGGCTGGACCCAGCGATTTAAAGGCCTCGTTCGTGGGCGCAAACAGCGTCATCTCGCCCTGGCGCCCGAACTTCTGTGCCAGCCCAGCCACGTTCACCAGGGACAGCAGCGTGCTGCAACACAAAGACAAAGGTCACCCGTGTAGCCTCAACTCACTGCTGGGGCAAGTGCGGTTAGCGAGTGCCTACGATTGGCCGGCGCGGTGCACGACGAGGGGGTGGGTGGCCAGCACCACGCCCGACCGCCTTTGTCTCCCCAGTGACGATGTTGCACCAAGTACTCATTTGAGGCTCAATCGACCTAGGGGAGGCCCAGGAACGGTTCAAATAATCATCACTGGTGTTGGCCGCGAGCGGGATTCGAACTCGGTTTCTCCGGGGTTCGTAGCGCAACGCTACCCTACCGCTACACACCACACACGCACACCACACACACGCACACCACACACACGCACACCGCACACGCGTACCACACAAACCACACACGCACACCACACACCCCACACACGCACACCACACACGCGCACACCACACACGCACACCACACACACGCACACCACACACACGCACACCACACACACGCACACCACACACACGCACACCACACACACGCACACCACACACACGCACGCCACATACACCACACACACCACACACACGCACACCACATACACCACACACACGCACACCACATACACCACACACACGCACACCACATACACCACACACACGCACACCACATACAACACACACACGCACACCACACACGCGCACACCACACACGCGCACACCACACATGCGCACACTACACACGCGCACACCACACACGCGCACACCACACACGCGCACACTACACACGCGCACACCACATACACCACACACACGCACACCACACACACGCACGCCACACACGCGCACACCACACACGCGCACACTACACACGCGCACACCACACACGCGCACACTACACACGCGCACACCACACACGCGCACACTACACACGCGCACACCACATACACCACACACACGCACACTACACACGCGCACACCACACACGCGCACACCACACACGCGCACACCACACACGCGCACACTACACACGCGCACACCACACACGCGCACACTACACACGCGCACACCACACACACGCACACCACACACACGCACGCCACACACACCACACACACGCACACCACATACACCACACACACGCACACCACATACACCACACACACGCACACCACATACACCACACACACGCACACCACATACAACACACACACGCACACCACATACAACACACACACGCACACCACACACGCGCACACCACACACGCGCACACCACACATGCGCACACTACACACGCGCACACCACACACGCGCACACCACACACGCGCACACTACACACGCGCACACCACATACACCACACACACGCACACCACACACACGCACGCCACACACGCGCACACCACACACGCGCACACTACACACGCGCACACCACACACGCGCACACCACACACGCGCACACTACACACGCGCACACCACATACACCACACACACGCACACTACACACGCGCACACCACACACGCGCACACCACACACGCGCACACCACACACGCGCACACTACACACGCGCACACCACACACGCGCACACCACACACGCGCACACCACACACGCGCACACCACACACACGCACACCACACACACGCGCACACTACACACGCGCACACCACATACACGCACACCACACACAGGGGGGCACACGGGGAGACGGTGGTAGGGTGGGCGGTGGAGGAGGAGGAGGGTGGAGGAGGAGACGAGGGAAGGGGCGACGGGTAGGCGCAGGAGCGGGGTGAAAAAGGTGAAGCTCGCGCCGGGTTGAACAGAGGTCCGTGTGTTAAAACAAATGAATGCATCCACTGAGCGATGCCGAGTAAGGGAATTTTAAACAACGACCGAGGGAGAGAGGAGTTGGTGGTGGGGGTGCAAATAAAGCGTCTGGTTTCGTTTCGGTAGGCTTTCGTATTTCTCTAACACGTGTTTGTTTTAAATATCCTCCTATATTTTCCTTGAGTGAAGAAAAGTTGTTTTTTCTTCTGCAGGACCGTAATTAATCAAAAAGGCATGTGGAGAGATGAGTATGAATGGCGTTGTGTGTGCGTTGATATCAGTGGGGGAGCGGCAGTGTCGTCGTTCCAGCACTGCACTTCGAACGTTGCTCACGGCTAACACCAGTGGTGAATATCTGAAAAAAAAGAGGTTGTGGGTCTCCTCTGGGTCAACTTAGCCTCAAATGAATAAAATTCACAGACTGTTGGGGCAAGTGCTGTTAGCGAGCACCTACGATGGCATCATGCCTGGTCACTTCCCTACCATACCAGGTACTTATTTAAGGCTGAGTCGACCTAGGGAAGGCACAGGACTGGTTCAAATATTCGCCACTGCTCTTGGTCATGAGCGGGTATCGAACTCGGGTCACCGGGTTCGTAGCGCAGTGCGCTAACCGCTTTGCCACCGCTCCTCGTTACTATTGTTCCACGAAGCCTTGCCAATCACAACAACGGGCAGAGGTGACTCAACGTCCAATTCCTGTCAACAGGTTGGGTTGAAGCGCGTGTACGTGTGGGAGGGAGGGAGGGTGGAGTGGTGGAACTTCTTAGCAATAGAAATGTGGCTTCGAGGTCGGTCATTGTGCGTTAGGTAGCGTCGCGTATGCACAACACCTGGTTTGTTTAATTGGGAATCTGAACTTTAATGCTTTTTTTTAAATCCACTGTTTAAAGAAAAGCTTCACGCTCCTGAGATGACGCAGCTGGTCATGAGGTCGCGCGCTCGCGGCGTTGCGGACTGCGGCGCTACGCCGGCGGCAGTCCGCGCAGGGCATTGCAGAGACCGATCTGTTCGTTGTACTGTAATTCTATGCCCCCACATATACGCTAACTGCTGTCACCAGCCCGTACTGACCAGCGTGGTGAAGTACGATCAAATGACCCTCCATTCATCCAACAGCAGACTGAGCAAGGTGGATTTAGGAAAGGTTTTTCTACCACTGACCTCCATACAGCCTAACAATCAGAGCCTAGAAAGAGCAAATGAGCATCAAGTAACATCATGCCAGACTATTATCCAAGCTCTCACCAACCAAGGGATTAGTAAGCAATATAGAGATATGATCAAAAACATTTACAAGGAAGGAACTGGTACATACACACACACACGCACGCATGGGTATTATTTATAACCAGGTAAGACACCACAAAGACAAAGGAGGCCTGGGGTACGAACAGAATATGTGGAGTTCAGAAATATTTCCGTGCAGAAGACAAGAGTTGTAAATTCAACAAAGAATACATCAGCAAAATGAAAGTCGGAAATGAAGGTTACTTTTAAAACACATTAACCACGAATAAAAATGTTCAAGAAATAATCCGATTATTATAACAACGTAGTTTTGTAAATCAAAAACGATCCCTTGCAATGAAGACACGTCAACATATAATGTAGGAAAGCTCGTTAAAATGTCCTTGCCAATTTTACAAATTGGTAGTTGTGGTATGAACCTCGCACGCAATGCTCTGCTCTAGTGAAAGATGCCACACGGATCTTCAATTTTGATTTTTTTTCTTCCAGCAGACAGGATTCCAACGAAGTAACGCACGGACGAGACGCATCGTGGACGGGAACAGACAGGAAGGCACTAAGACTCCCAAGGCATCGTTGCTTGGCTTAAGGAAATCAAAGCTTCCTTCAAAACAGGTTTAGCCGTTCATGCACCACAAGGTCTTTTCATCTCTGGATGGCAGACGTGTGAAGCCTTGATATTACCAGACATCTGTACGCGATGTGATACGGTGGCGGGACGTTAATTATTATCATTATATTTACAGAGAAAACATCAATCGTAGTCTCGTCTTCACGGCTGACGGTAGGTAATAATTATACCTTAAAAAGAGCGTTGAGATTTTCAAACTGCCGGCCAACTCTCAGCGCGGATTGTCAATGATTATTCGAGGTAGCATTACCGAGCGATTTAAAATCTACGTTTCAGCGGACAGCTGCTATTAAAACCGCGGTGAGAATCAACAGCACTGGCGTGTGGGTGCGCACGAGGGAGACAGAGAATGGCACAGCTCGGGGTCCCCCTTGACAGAGACGCAGGTCCGCGTGGTGAACTCACCTGAAGCGAGCGTCGTTGCGGAGCAGCTCCATGATGGTGCTGGTGGCCGGCTTGATGACCTTGTCGACCACGAAGAGCGCGCCCGTGTTGGTGGACTTGTCGCGCACGTTCACGCACGACGTCTCGACGCAGATCGCCTGGGGAGGGAGGGGGGAACGCGACGGCGTCAATACCGCCGCGACGGTCGGATCACCCTCGACACGTGTCCCCATCCCGCCCGATCTCGGCTTTGGCAGGCGCCGAGGCTGGATAGCGCTCGCTAGGGCTGGCCACCACGCATGGATCGGGTGCTGTAGGCATCGGCAGAAGGCACTGCAGAAAAATCCATTGTCGTACTGCTACTATTGCAACGACGGCTGCGCTCGCACCAAACGGCACTGACCGCGTTGGCAAAGTGCGAATCTTGAGCCTGGGGCAGGGGAAGACGCTGCCGGTGGGAGGGGAAGCGAATGAGAAGGTGGCCGTTCCACTGCCATGGCGACTTGAAGTGTCCTCTGGTGGTTCACATCAGGTCGAATCCTACCCTTGGGAACTTTTCCGATTACTACCGACAATCATTTTCTGCACGTAGCCAACCGTGCTAATTGGAGGTGCGGGGGTAAGGACAACAAACTAAACACTCAAAAGCAGTTCCGTCGATCGCGCGAGCTCAGTCCCTCCTGCGTTTGCGCGCTGGAGGAGACGATCGGCGGCGTTCTCGGCGTTCTCCGCCGCGGATGGTACGGGGGGGCTCGCTGCGAGTCGCGTCGGTGCGCGAGCGTGCGACGGGGAGGGAGAGACGCGCGGCACTTACCCGGTGGTAGAGGAAGACGCGCAGCTGCTGCCCGCCAAGCGTCTCGAGTTTCTGGCCGTGATACAGCTGATTGGAGAGGTGGCGGCCACGCACCACGTGATTGAGCAGCATCTTCTGCGTGCTGTCCGACGAGGTCGACATCGCGGAATCTGTCGGACGGGGAACGCCCGAAGCGTTTCACGGCGACTGTTTCGTCACGACGGTCAAAGCGAGCGTCGTTCGTGCGCACGGCCGTTCTCGCGTTCGCTGCGGCTCGAGCGCTTTGGCCCGGCGGCTCAGCGGCAGGGCAAGCGACTCGAAATCGGAAGGCCGCGAGTTCACATTCTGGTTGGGGTCATTGTCTCCTGGCATCATTAAAACGAGTAGCACTTTTGGCGGCGAGCCGACAGTTGGTTGTCCTACGGATGAAGTCGTCGTCCCGGCGGAGGAACAGGAACGTTCGCCGCTGGCTCGAGGCCGTAAGCAAGAAACGAGCACTGCCTCAATGCCCACGCGAGCAGGGACATCGCTTTGACTTTCGAGAGAGCTTTGACAAGGGGCACCCGGCGATAACAACAAACGACGATGACGGCAATCGACATCAATGGTGTGACGGATAACATAACAGTCGACACCCTACCTGGTTGATTACGTTCTTCCTGAGAATGCTACATTTGAGAGAGAGATAAAACACAGAACCAGAGACATATAGCCAGACATAAGTAGAGACAGATATCTGGTTCTGTGTTTCATCTCTCTCTCAAATTTAGCATTCTCAGGAAGAACGTAATCAACCAGGTAGGGTGTTGACTGTTATGTTATCCGACTCTCTGTTGTATTACATTACATTTCGAAGTATACTAGAATTGTGTTTCTATTTCATTTATACCTGATGACGATTGCTTGTGTTGCAATCGAAACGTCGTATGCTAGTATTTAATTTATTATTTTCTCTTTATACGTCACTTTACCGAAAGAACCACAGAGTAATTCCTGCAGTCACGAAAGGTACAAATTAAGTATCAATGATGTGAGAAGGAGAAGCCCCCCCCCCCCCCCTTGTCCCTACCTTCCATGGCGCTGTCCTTGGGCGCCAGGATCGTGTACTCCTCCCCCACCTTCAGGCTGGACTTGAGGCCGGCCTCTGCGAAGACGTCCATGAAGGTCTCCACGCCGTACTTCTCGGCGACGTCGAACACGTCCTTGGCTGCGGGCGGACGAGGGGTCGGGGTTCTGGGTTGGCGATGGCGATGGCCGGGGGGGGGGGGGGCGTTTAAACGACGCGCGGCGTCTCCTGAGGCCACGAGATCAAAGTCTCGCGCTCTGGAGTCAACGATTTCCAGGGTCCATCGATTTAGTTCTGTTTTTTGTGTTGTTCGATTTGACGTCAGTCGCACGCGAACCGTTCCAATCCGTAAGCGACGGGGAAAACCCATTTCTACAGAGAAAATTTAGTCCGAGTGAAGACGAGTTGAAGATTTCTCTTTTTTTAGTCAGGAGAGAATTCAAAGATACCAGTGTCAGTCTCATTTGCAAGGGTGACCTGGGAAAGACGGAACCGGTCTGTGGTCGTTGCTCTGTTTCACTGATGCCTCTCGTTTGTCCACATTTTCTCAACGTATTGGACGGTGGGCTAAGACAAAAGGACGGAATGCAGTTATTCTGCCACACTCTGAGTCTGAAGTTTCCTACATTGGGATGTTTGGCCAATACCATTACCAGTTACATTGAATGTGTTTTAGGTATGGCAGGATGAAACCCATGCCAAGCAAGGTGGGGAAACATACAAACTCCATAGGGAGAGAGGCACGCGTGTTATCACTGGGCCACTCTGTCGTCCAAAGTGACATCCATTATGAACTCGATGACAATTAGGCAGTCTGAGCTGCGTGGTGGACATGTTGGCCGAAACGTTCGTTTTACGTTTGGGATTTTTTTTACCGAAAGTCTTTTCAATGATTCACAGGAGCACAGGAGAAGAATCTAGAAACAATCATAGTCTAAACTAAACTATTTTACCAGGTAAGGCCCACTGAGCTAAATAGCTCTTTTTCAGAAGCGACCTGGCCACAAATGGTAGCTCAACAAAGTGGCTTATTTCGTGGAAATTTATAGCAGCCAAATACTATAAACGCGTGATGTTGATTCTAAATGTGGAGGGAAAAACCGGAGAACTTGGAGAAAAATCCACGCGACTGCGGGCAAAACTGTGGTGTTTGCGAATACTTGGGATTCTTACTCTTTGGTTTTTTCGGTAAAGTCACGTCGGTGAAAACAAAATAAAATAAAAAGAAAACAACTAAATTAAATCACGACGTTTCGGAATCAGCACAAGCATCCGTCATCATGTGTGACTGCTCCAGCAAAGTTACTGTAGCGTATGAAGAGGGCTATTTAGAGACACGTGTCTATGTAGGGTACTAGGGGGGGAGGAGCCAAAGGGCATGCGGCAAGTAGTGTGGATGCTCTCAAATCTCGATAGGACGACACCAACGCCATGGTGGACACGTGGAAGTATAGACGGATTAGACTCAGACGTGGGACGCTCTGCCCATAGAACTCCGCCTGACCTCTGATATTCTCCCGTTCAGAAACGAATAAATAAACGCATTTAGTAAGATATCTCACCTCTTCTTGGTTCTTTCGGTAAAGTCACGTAGAAGGGAAATAATAAAATAATAAAAATAAAATATAATAAAATATGATTTCCCTTCTACGTGACTTTACCAAAAGAACCAAGAAGATGAATCCCTGCAGTCACGAAAGCTTTAAATCGAAATTTTATTGTTTCATTTTTATTATTTTATTATTTCCATTCTACGTGACTTTACCGAAAGAACCAAGAAGATGAATCTCTGCAGTCACGAAAGCTTTAAATCGAAAATGTATTATGTTTCATTTTTATTATTTTATTACTTCCATTCTACATGACTTTACCGAAAGAACCAAGAAGATGAATCCCTGCAGTCACGAAAGCTTTAAATCGAAATTTATCTCACCTCGTTTTGGAGGAATTGGGTAGTCGTTTTTTTTAGGGTGCAGGTGTCATTGATGTGTGTTGAGCATTTGTAAGAAGATACCATTTGCATGCTCTGTCACTGATTAATTACACTGTGTGTTATATCTCACATATGTGTTTCTGTGACTTTTACTGACCATTATTTTATTATACTGTACAGTGCTCTAGAACCTCTGTGTGGCTTCTTGCGCTTTAGAAATCTTTAAAATAATAAAACATTGTGAAAACCCTACACCGTAAAGTGTGCGTGTAATGTATTTAGCTCGATCAAATTAACTAAAACCTGATGTCGAATTCTAATTATTTCACCTTTACTAAGAACGTATCATATTCTTAGGTTTTTTCGGTAAAGTCACGTAGGTAAAAACATTAAAAAGTAAAATGTCTTTACCTGCGTGACTTTACCGAAAAAACCTAAGAATATGAATCATTGCAGTCATGAAAGCTTCAAATCTAGAATTAAGAACGTATCACAGCAGCACAGCGTATTACGCAGCTGTGAGCGAGTGATGTCGTATGACTGATGGGAATTATAAAACCCCATATCCCTCATCGGGCTGGAGCAACAGAACTATCTGCTCGAGGCCTTAGGCTCGGGAGGGCCCAAATAAGGGCTAACGACTCGTCGGAATTGACTTCTCGTGCAGGCGGTTAAACGCAAGGGATATCCTCTGAGGTCATTTCCCAAACGTGAAACGTCCAGGCGTGCGGCCAATTTGGTCCGTCGTAAAACACCAGCGCCAGTTCGCGTTTTAAAATTTTTTGCCGAGGCCAAACTCGAACACCGTGAGGTGAAGGGCACAAACCGCCCACGTGCGGAGGCGTTTCAAGAGTGTGAATTATATTCAGCGGCGGTACCCCGATTTACGCCTCGTCCCTTTGACGTTGTCAATTCATTATGAACACCGACACCCGATTTGCGTCGTTCACGGCATCATCTGTCCCTTCTCGTTATCCGTCACCCCCACCGTGCTGCAGAACGCAATATATTAATAACGCACGGTACTTTGGCGATTGGGAAAAATTGCTTTGACTGACGTCGTCTCAATATTTCGTTGTCACACCTTTCAGGAACGCATCCCTGACGTTAACTGGGGTATTACTGTGTATGATTTGTCGGACAGTGATACATCACCTCTCGTTAAGAGACTGCGTGGTTCACAACACTGCGGTCATTAAAAGAAATGAATAGGGGGCACCGCAGAAGGTAAGATGTTAACTATCTCGCCCGGTACACAGGAGGGCAGTGGGTTCGATCCCCACCCTGACGCCTGCTGTATATTTGGAGTTTGCATGTTCTCCCTGTGGTTGCATGGATTTTTCTCCGGGTCCTCGGGTTTTCCCTTCACATTTATAAACACGTGTTTAGAGTATTTGGCTGCTATAAATGTCCACGTGATAAGCCACTTTGTTGAGCTATCATTTGTGGCCAGGTCGCTTCTGAAAAAAAGATACATAGCTCAGTGGGCCTTACCTGGTAAAATAAAATTAGTTTAGTTTATATAAATATAATAGGTGACATTTCAGGAAATGATCCCCTCCTTCAGAACACATAAAATGCGTACGATCTTTTACACATTTTCTTTCAAGGCCACATTGTTCCTGATGAATGTGTTGAAGTTTTTTGTTGTTGTTGTTATTTGTGCTTGTGCATTGCTGCCAAAGCGGCAGCAAGCATCGCAAAAAATGTGCACGGTTCATGACGACGGATGTGTACGTACTGTGTGCATGTGGGTCCACACATTTGGTACGATGCTTTGTTAACACTCACACGGCAGGGCAGTGAATGTGCAGTAGAAACAACAGTTGGAATTCCACACAGCACCCATACTAGCATGCAAGGAATGCAGTACACTACACCTGGACATGCCTCTTGCATTTGATCTTCTGAAGGCACATATTCAAGTTCTGTCTTTCACACTCTGCACAAGGGTACTCCAAGAAGCACGCTATTCACCGCCCAATCTGTCATCACCCAGCACTCAACCTCATCTGCTCTCTCCAGTATATATATAAAAGATTCTATGTCATCATCAGCAGCAGCAGCAGCCATATTATATCCACTACGGAATGGAGGTGTGCCGAGGACATGGCCAAATTAATAAATTTCGTTCCTGTGCGCGATCTGATTTCATCGCTCCAACTGGCACAGCGGCCGTCCTCTCTCGTGTGTTGTCTCCTTTGACTGGCAGTCCGTTTACCGGTCTCGTCCGTCCGTTAACATCCCTTCTGGCGATTGTGTTTCGTGAGGAAGGCCAGGAAACTCTTCGGTCTACCACAAAGATGGAGCAATGGGATGACGGATGCGCGCCGCATCGTTGCATCGCGAGGCCGTGACCGACGGCGACAGATTGGGCAGGCCTTCACCCAGCAGCGGATAGATCGTGTCTCATTCCCGATGATGATGATGATGATGATGACGATGATTACACTCGATCAATCTGTTCTTCATTGCATATAAGTATACATATGTCGCGTAGCCTTTTTGCAACCCGAGGACACATCGGAGGGCCTTTGCGTATTTATTTAAATAATGTATATTAATTATTATTTATCAATCACATACTTTAATTTATTTGGCGATGCTGCTGCTGCCGCTGGCAGTGGTGCAGAAGCAAGTTGAGTCAAAAAAAATACCCGAGCCAACTCGACGCACTCGTCAATGACACCGTTTTGGCCTTAGAATTAAACGAATCTATGAATACAATCAGTGACTGAATCGGTCCCGGCTCTGTTAATTGTGCCTCCGCCGAAGGCCCCGTGCCACCGGCCACTGCGGAGTTCGCGGTGCCGAGGCTGCTTTCACCTGTGTCGGGCAGCAGCAGGTCGTCGATGAGGTGGATGACCCCGTTGGTGGTGACGATGTCCTTGCGTATCACGTTCACCTTCCCGTTCAGGGTGATGTCGTCGCCGTTGCACGTGACCTGCAGCTTCGTCCCCTCGGCCGTCTCCACGGCGGTGGTGCCCAGGATGGACTCGGAGCATTGCAGGGACGAGATGAGGTGGTTGTTCACCATGGCTGTCGGGACAGGAGCGCTTGGTTATTTAGGGAGGGAGGATATAATGAACATCGTCATCGTCGTCATCGTGAGACATTTTGTGTCCACTGCTAGATGAATGAGCAATGTAAACCCTGTCTGTCTGTGTAGATGCACTGGGTAGAAGGTATGTAATGATTCGTCCCTCTGGTGACGCTATACATCCCTATACATCTTCTTGGTTCTTTCGGTAAAGTCACGTAGAAGGTCCTTCTACGTGACTTTACCGAAATAACCAAGAAGATGAATCCCTACAGTCACGAAAGCTTTAAATCAAAATCCCTATACCTGTCCGCCCATAAGGTTTACCCGTATTCTTGTACAGGGAAATTGAGTGTTCTGGTCCATACGACGTACAGCCGTTTCAATACGGGCCAAAAAGTATGTTTTTTGTCTGTTTGTTTGTGTTTCTCCCTTGTGATGGGACTTTGTGGGATGAACGTTGAGATTAATAAGGGGCACGGGGTGACCAGTAAAGTCTGAATTGGTCTGTAATAAAGTAGGCACTGATAAGGGGGTTGCCAGATATGCACTCACAATTTAAAGTTACAATTCGATTCGCGAATCCGCTCCTTGAGGTCTCATTTTAACCGTCTAACATCTCGTGACCATCTCGTTCGCTGTATGCAATGTTCGTTGAACTTCTTTCGCACCGTACGTAGCCAACCGTGCTCGTCGGAGGCGCGTCGATGCCTCTTGATTGATCGCGTTCAATGCCAGAATTGCGCGCGGTTTTTCGCGCGGCCTCTAAAACCATTCTTGGACGCGGCAATCGACGCATTTACAATGCGTGCAACGATCGACGCTAGTCGACAAATTTGACACCGCCGCGCCTTCTACGCAGGAAGGCAACGCACGACGGACGGCTTTTAAACACCGCGTGCTCTCCAGACGGCAACTTAGCGACGCGGGTACAATCTGAGATTGGGGCGGGCGGAGTGGGGGGGGGGGGCTCACACAGGGAACGACGTTGCAGTCATCGGTGATTATTGCGCAACCCATCAACCCGCACCACAACGGGGAAACCCATTTTAACCCCCTCCCCCCCACCTCCCACCTGGGAGGTAATCACCCCGGAGCGTTGATCCCTGGATCTGACACGCGCTGGCTTAGTACGTGACACGGTTATTAGCTCCCCGAATCGTACCGGCCATCTCATGCTTGGTTGTTAGATTTTCTCAACTCCCCCCCCCCCCACCACCACTCTCGGCTCACCCCGCGGCCCACCCCATAATTGTTAGTGCCAGGAGCTAAGCGTTGCGGGAGGCCTGCTGCTGTCTCAAGTGGTTTTATTTCATTCGTTGCGTTTCTTCGGCAGTAACGACCCACAATTATGCGCTAAGTGTGGTGCGTGCGTGCGCGCGCATGCATTGCACGCCACGAGATGACCGCGCGTGCAAAACGGCATTTAATTTTGTCCCCGGGGGAGGACAAAAATAAATCGAGACCAGCATTAAAAATATGAATTGCACTCAATTGGAACACCTGTTTGGCTGAAACATCCCTCCACGTGGAAATGTGCACGTGGTGGCAATCGGCCGTGGGACATACCAAGCACCAAAATTTCTGAAAGGGTATTTCGTTTCACCATTGGAACCTCATTTGCCAGTAAAAAATATGATAATTGGTTTTTTACCCTTCTATCTGGCAACAAAACTGACACCTTTTTTTTTACAAGGAGTCATGTTTGCATAGACCACAATACCTGCAGTCATAATGCAAACAAAAAACATAACTCTGATAATGTATGCACTGTCCTTACCCCGAGCTCTGATACTCTGATGGTGCATTGTCTTTGAGTTGTGCGCCTTTTGGCGTCATCTGGTCCAACCCATGTGAGACTAGGCTCTAAGGAAAGCTGTCTCGGTTGTGGACCAATCAACTTCAAGGACAGTGCATACATTATCAGAGTTATGTTTTTTGTTTGCATTATGACTGTAGGTATTGTGGTCTATGCAGACATGACTCCTTGTAAAAAAGGTGTCAGTTTTGTTGCCAGATAGAAGGGCAAAAAAACAATTATTATGGTATTTTTTTTGTTTGTGAAAAATGCTCGCCTCCAGAATATAGAGTCGATGTCCAACCAATGGAACATTCAAATACGACGTTTGAGCCAGATTTGTCGCGCAGGAGTGTTCCATTTAGCACACGAGGGTGAAGTTGAAAACTTAATTTCACCTCTTCCTTTCTGGAACGACACAGCCTCCCCCCCCGCCCCGCCCCGCTGCTAATTGAATTACCCTTGAGTGCCGGAGGATCTGCCAGGATTCTGTTGAGCGTTCCCTTGGGGATTTTCTTAAACGCCTCATTGCTGGGCACGAACAGAGTGATGGGCCCCTCCGAGTTGAGCATTGGCATCAGTCCGGAGGCCTCCACTGCCGCCTGCGGACACCACGAAGAGACAGAACCGCAGATCTGAGACGCGAATGGGCGTTCATGGCAGTAGCTGCGTCAGCTGAAGAGGCCACGGTCAAGATATGAATGTTTTCATTCACAAAAATTGGGCATTTAACTGTTGACAAAAGCTTGTTTTTTAGATGTATTTCCAGTGATGCAACATAATCCCCTTATCACAGGCCCGGCTCCAGCCGTCAATGCTGTTGACTCCCTGCCCCTGTTCCCAGGCCCGGCTCCTCATGGACGTGAACCATCGTCAACAGTGGTTTAAGTGCCAAGGCGAGTGAACTTGGCCGGACCCGAGGGATGTTTGGTGGCGGTAGGGCCCAGGACCCAGCCCCAGAAGCCCCCTCAAGCCGGCACTCATTTCTCGATACGAACTGCCTCTCTCTGCAGAGATGCGGGTCACATCTAAAGTTCACAATGAATACAATGTTGTCTTGCATTTGAAAGCTCAACTCTCATCACGGACGAGCAAAGACAAAGATACCCCCCTCCCCCCGTATAGCCTCAACTGACTGTTGGAGCACCAACAAAGGCCGGCACGGCGCACAAGTTGGTCGTCAACACCACGCACGGCCGCCTTTGTCTCCCCAGCGGCGACGGTTCAGGTAACCGTCACTGGTGTTGGCCGTGGGAGGCAAATGGAACTCGTGTCTCTGCCGGGTTCGTAGCGCAGCACCAACACCACGCCATTCGCAACGAGGTGACGGTGACGTCACAATGGTGCCAGGCTAGGTGCACTTTGAGGCCACGCGAAGTGTCGAAGGCTCGCTGGCAGGAGGTCTCGGGACAGACCCAGCGGGTTGCCATGAGTTGGCTGACTGAGATGACCGGCAGACGCACCAAGCTGTTACCCCCCCCCCCGCCCGCCCCTACTGTGCCAACTTGCTGCGTTTTGTTTTTATCCGCCAGGCGCTCCGCTCGTTGTTGTGAGCGTCGCTCCTCTAAGGCCCTCCATTGTTGTTGTTGGAGGGCGGCTGCCTTCAACTGCCCAGCAGCAGCAGCGTCCTTCAGGAGCCTCCTCTAGACACGCGCGTGTGGGGCCGTCCGTAAATGACATCACGCGATTTTGGACGATTTTCGACCCCCCCCCTCGTCACACGGCGTCACAAATAGTCAGACCCCCCCCCTCGAATATGACGTCACAAAGCTCTGCCCCCCCCCCCCCCCAAAAAATAAAACATGCTTCAAATCGCTTTAAACTATTGTCATTGTAGTGCGTATTTAATGTGGCGCTGCACTCTGATGTTGTAGGAGAAAACATTTATTAAAAAGTTTATTTAACTAAGTAGAACGTGTTGTCTATATTTATTGAAAGTTGCGCATTTTGTTGTGACGTCACATTTCTCAAACACCCCCCCCCACCCCCTCGTCCAACATCGTCACAAATGTCTGACCCCACCCCCTCCCCCCCTAGGTGCGTGACGTCATTTATGAACGGCCCCCTGTCCACACACCCGCATCGACTCCATGTCCTCGTCGTAGCTGATGACATCGCCGATCTGGTTGGACACGGGCACGACGACGCGGTCGATGACGTGCACCACGCCGTTGGTCGCCAGGTGGTTGGGGCGGATGAGACGGGCGCAGTTCATGGTGATGATCTGCGAACGACAACGGGAGAGAGAGAGACGCTCTCGTTTCGAGGTTGGCGGCGGCGGCGGTGGTGGCGTCGTCTCGTGGCCGTGACTCAGAGAGGGCACTCCGGGGGGAGGGGTTCAGGGTGGCGCTGAGAGGTGCAGGAAGGCCCTGCCCTGCGATTATAAGCGTCAAGCAGTTAGTTCACCAGCATTGCTTGAAGATACACTGTGCTTCGAAACCGGTCCAGAGTTTGCGTGTGTTGAACCAAAGCTTGAACGTCTTTCGCACCGTACTTAGCCAACCGTGCTGTTGGAATTGTGCACTCCCAGAAGGCCACGTGGCTGATGACACGTGTAATTTTTATGTGTTTTCTTTATTTTATTTACGCGGAGCGACAGGCGCGTGTGCGCGACGGAGACGTCGCAGGTGAATCAGGTGGGTGCGGGCGGGCGGGCGCGCTCTCACCCCGTTGGGGTAGTGGTTGACGTAGAGCTTCTGCTTCTCGTACATGGAGGTGAGCACCGTGCCGTCCTTGAGGTCGCTTGTGAGCAGCCGCCGGTCCACCATGTGGTAGCGCAGAGCGTTGAGCAGCTCGATGTTCACGTTGGTCGTGAGCGAGTCGCGGACCTCCTGCGCACGCGAGAGGTTAAACCAGGGATCAGGATTTAGTCGCGAACCTCCTGCGCGCGCGAGGTTGAAGCAGGGATCAGGATTTAGTCGCGAACCTCCTGCGCGCGCGAGGTTAAACCAGGGATCAGGATTTAGTCGCGAACCTCCTGCGCGCGCGAGGTTAAACCAGGGATCAGGATTTAGTCGCGAACCTCCTGCGCGCACGAGGTTAAACCAGGGATCAGGATTTAGTTGCGAACCTCCTGCGCGCGCGGTAACCAGGGATCAGATTAGTCGCAGGACCTCCTGCGCGCGAGGTTAAACCAGGGATCAGGATTTAGTCGCGAACCTCCTGCGCACGCGAGGTTAAACCAGGGATCAGGATTTAGTCGCGAACCTCCTGCGCACGCGAGGTTAAACCAGGGATCAGGATTTAGTCGCGAACCTCCTGCGCGCGCGAGGTTAAACCAGGGATCAGAATTTAGTCGCGAACCTCCTGCGCGCGCGAGGTTAAACCAGGGATCAGGATTTAGTCGCGAACCTCCTGCGCGCGCGAGGTTAAACCAGGGATCAGGATTTAGTCGCGAACCCTCCTGCGCGCCGCGAGGTTAAACAGGGATCAGGATTTAGTCGCGAACCTCCTGCGCGACGCGAGGTTAAACCAGGGATCAGGATTTAGTCGCGAACTCCTGCGCGCGCGAGGTTAAACCAGGGATCAGGATTTAGTCGCGAACCTCCTGCGCGCGCGAGGTTAAACCAGGGATCAGGATTTAGTCGCGAACCTCCTGCGCGCGCGAGGTTAAACCAGGGATCAGGATTTAGTCGCGAACCTCCTGCGCGCGCGAGGTTAAACCAGGGCTCAGGAATTTAGTCGCGAACCTCCTGCGCGCGCGAGGTTAAACCAGGGATCAGGATTTAGTCGCGAACCTCCTGCGCGCGCGAGGTTAACCAGGGATCAGGATTTAGTCGCGAACCTCCTGCGCACGCGAGGTTAAACCAGGGATCAGGATTTAGTCGCGAACCTCCTGCGCGCGCGAGGTTAAACCAGGGATCAGGATTTAGTCGCGAACCTCCTGCGCGCGCGAGGTTAAACCAGGGATCAGGATTTAGTCGCGAACCTCCTGCGCGCGCGAGGTTAAACCAGGGATCAGGATTTAGTCGCGAACCTCCTGCGCGCGCGAGGTTAAACCAGGGATCAGGATTTAGTCGCGAACCTCCTGCGCGCGCGAGGTTAAACCAGGGATCAGGATTTAGTCGCGAACCTCCTGCGCGCACGAGGTTAAACCAGGGATCAGGATTTAGTCGCGAACCTCCTGCGCACGCGAGGTTAAACCAGGGATCAGGATTTAGTCGCGAACCTCCTGCGCGCGCGAGGTTAAACCAGGGATCAGGATTTAGTCGCGAACCTCCTGCGCGCACGAGGTTAAACCAGGGATCAGGATTTAGTTGCGAACCTCCTGCGCACGCGAGGTTAAACCAGGGATCAGGATTTAGTCGCGAACCTCCTGTGTGCACGAGGTTAAACCAGGGATCAGGATTTTCCTCACCGAGGGCCGCTAAATGACTTTTACAAACCGTTGGCGAGACAGGCATTTAAACAATTTGAACAATAATGTCGCCTCTTCTTTTTCTACATTTCTGGTTTTGCTCATGAATAAAATCAATCAGTATGGCTTGACAACATCAGAGATTGGTGCCAGAAAGATGTTGCACTACTTGAGCACATTGGCACAAGACGGAGAGGAAAGTGGAAACAAATGACGACATGTGCAGTGGACCCCAACAGGGTATCTGCCCATCGTGATGATGATGACGACGTTTGCCCGCTGAGAAAGTGTTTAGATTGGCTCCGTCAGGTGGTGGAGGGTTCTCGTTAAACATTGGGATACCAACACGATTCGAACCCAAAGTAAACTAATGATGAATCATAATGCTGGTCATGAATGGATCGATATGTGTTAACGGGCCGTTTCAAAGTGGTGGTTGTGGGTCATATGAAATGAAGTTATGCCCGTGCTTATTAACACGAGACACACACACAGGAATATTTCTGTGTGTGTGTAGGTGCATGTGTGTGTGTGTTAGTCCATGTGTGTGTGTACCTCCATATATGTGAGTGTGTAAGTCGATGTCTTTGTGTGTGTGGGTCAATGTCTGTGTGTGTAGGTCGATGTGTGTGTCTGTCTTTTTCGCCCGGGCAACGCCGGGTACTTACCGCTAGTCTCCTATAGAAAGGAACAACGATCAAAAGAACGCCCCTATAATTGTACAACCTAACAATATCTTTATCCAGGGTTTCGGCCGAGGAGGGGGATACACACACGTGGGCTTACGGGGACTCCTTCACGTTCCCTAGCGAGCATGTGAATAGACGCGCGCACACACACAAGGGAACATTGATCTGTACGGTCTAATAGTAGACCGCTCTCATAAAACATCTTAGCAAAGCTTTCAACTAATCGACAACATCTTGCAGTGTTCTTAAAAAGTATAGAACACCCTGTGAAGTGTTGAATAGGAACAAGTTCCCACACACACCGATTTCATCTTTTCGCTAACGGCCGACAATCAGGGCTAGGCACCCATGAGAGAGAGAGGGGTAGAGAGAGGGGCACGCACGGAAATAATAACAATTAAAAAAGCTTAAAGTGCCATTGGCAAAAGCCCTGCGCTTGTGCGCTTGACTTAACAAAGAGTGCAACATCGTTCTCAGCGGGGGGAAACCGTTTGGCCCCAACTAAGTGGTGAATTGAAGGACCCACCCTCCAGCTAATTTAAACCCGGACGCCGATACTATACAGCGCTAAGCCTGGCTCTAATTTCATGCACAGTGCACACAAGGCAAACGAGCAACAAAGACCGATTGCCCCAGAGTATGAAAATGACCTTCAAACGAAATACCCCCTGCAATTTTTGGCGGAATAAAAGTCACGTGCATTTGCTAAAAGCACGTTTTAAATGCACGGCTTTACACAGATTGACACTTCTTATCGTGCGAGCAAACAGAAGCTTCTGTTTGCGTTGTTCACTCCCGAGAGGCGGCTGCGTAACGGCGTCGCGTGGCTGCACGACCCCAGAGGATGACACCGTGGGACGGCTGCTGTCACCTCTTCACTCGGCCTCTCACCGCAGCCGGGGGGGGGGGGGGGGGCGACTGAAGGTTCGCCGCACGTCGACCATCCTCTACTTGCGTGACTTCGGTCGATTTTTCGAAGGAGCGAGCGACGAGAAAAACTAACTTGACTCGCACACTATGAGACATCTCCTTTACCAGTGGCAAAATATAGTGATAGGGTTTTACCCTTTCAACTCGTACAAAAACTGACACCTTTATACAAGGCATCATGTTTGCTATAACCACAACACAAGCAGTCAAAATGCAAAGAAAAAGAAACAACTCTGATGATGATAATGATATGCACTATCCTTGTAGTTGATTGGTCCACACCCGAGACAGCTTTTCTTAGAGCCTAGTCTCCATTGGTGTTGGACCAGATGACGCCAAAAGGCGCACAACTCAAAAACAACGCACTATCAGAGTATTGAGAGCTCGGGGTAAGCATTTACACTATGAGACCTCCTTCACCAGTGGCAAAATATAATAATAGGTTTTTGCCATTTCAACTGGTACAAAAACTGACACCTTTATACAAGGCATCATGTTTGCAATAACCACAACACAAGATTATTACTACTTGACTCGCGCAATCGGTCTTTTGTGTCGCCGTCGGTTATATTGTTCAGACTAGCGATACGAAACACGGAGTGCATCTCATTCTTTTGTGTTCTACACAACTGGCCCGGAGATTTCGGCGCTCGAGAAGCTGCTGTATTCGTGTCAGGTGGCGGTTCGCGATTCAGGATTTCAGAAGAGCAGCAACCTGGCAGCACCTGGTCCAACGCGCAGGGTACCGATTAAGGCCGTGATGATTCACCCCCACCCCCCACAGCGTTCTCCGTCTTACCTCGCAATTCAATTACTTGTCCCTGTTAGGGGACACAATTCGAATGATACTGGTAGGAACCTCCTGGTTCCACCAGCCCACAGGGGATTATTGTGTCCGTCCGTCTGTCCGTCGTGCATTAAAAAATGGGAGGGGTCGGGCTGGGTGGAGAGGGGAAGGTGGGGAGGGGCTGGGTGGGGAGGGGAGGGTGGGGAGGGGCTGTGTGGGGGGTGGGAGGGGTGGGGCTGGGTGGGGAGGGGCTGGTCACCCCGTGGTGCCCTTATAAAACTCAACGTTTAACCTACTCACGCCGGCTTGTGCCCGCCCTCACAGTCGGGCATATTTGCGGAATACACCATGCCGCCGTTGACCCTGGCCACTGACCGAGCATCCCAACGTTACTACCAGCTCCCTCCGCAGGAATGTGTTTAATTAATGATCTTGGTAGCGTTGTGGTTAAATGTATTGAGCCGAGGCTCCCGTGTGCAGTGGAGGACCTACCTTGGACAGCTCTAACCAGGCCTCATTGCTGGGAGCGAACATGGTGTGAGCTCCAGGCCCCTCGATCTCAGGCCGCAGTCCCGACTGGTTCGAGTATTTCTGCGTGAGAGTGGCCTCGATGGGATCCAGCGTCTCGTAAACGTTCACGATGGGAGTGACTGGTGCACGGAAAAAAAGGCAGGGAGGAAAAACACGTCGTGTTCACGATTACAACAGCAGCAGCGGAAGCATTGAGATTATTACATTTAAATGCACACAGTCGCTGGCATACAAAGATATCCTGTAGAGCTTTAACAGACTGTTGGGGCAAGCGCTGTTAGTGAGCACTTATGAAGGTCGGAACGGTACACGAGGGGATGGGTGGCCAGCACCACGCCCAGCCGCTTTTGTCTCCCGAGTGAAAATGTTAACACACAGCACCAGGTACTCATTTGCGGCTGAGTCAATCTAGGGGAGGCACAGCACGGGTTCAGATAACGATCACTGGTGTTGACCGTTAGCGGGAATCGAACTCGGGTCGCCGGGTCCATAGTACAGCGCGCTAACCGCGGCGCCACCACTCCTCATCATTGTGTGTTTTGTGTGCGATGGAGGAAACACAAAGCACTTGTGAAACCCACATCCTGACACAATGTGGGAATGTTTTCATAACAGTGCGCAGAAGAAAAAAAACAATAATCTATTCCTAACACAGAGGAAGTGGGATTGAGTCTTGGTCATGGTGATTTGATCCGGATATTGAAATTGCATAGACAGCATAATGCTCACTTAGACCACCGATAACCAGCCACAACTCAGATATCATTGAATGCCAGTGGAGAGTGATATTAGTTCTGGGAGGCCAACACATGATCGACATGGCATGCGGAGGTCTTCATCCAGCAGTGGAGTTAAAAAGTGATGTAAATTATTATGAGGATATCGAGCCAAACCTCACTTAATCGCGTTACAATTCACATATTCAACGTATTGCATTTTATTTAACTGAATGGTTGTTTTATGAATTGTGCAGAAATATATAATTATTTGAGAATGCTGGTAAAGGTTTTAATTGAAAATACGTAGATATTGATTCATATGCAACGATAATTCACTTTGTTCAAAAGTATAACGGGAGGGGGCGGGGGGGGGGGGCTTACAATATTTCCCAGTATTCCCAAATATTTAACCCTGGGTGAACATATATTCAGGAGGCACACATATATAACTTTTTTTTCCTGACACCAACGTTACAGTGATGGAATGGGGGTTCGCCCGCGCTCATATCGATGAGCGTAAAAAGACACTCACTTGCCGAACAGCCATCGACGCCGTCCACTCTGACGTAGCCAGGGCAGCACTCGTGGGTCACGATCCTGTAGCGAGGGAGGGCAGCGAGAGGCCCACGTGTGAAAGGCAGGCACCGCTTGCTCCCACATTCCAGGACAAATAAGGCCCCCCGTTGTCCAGCAGTGGCCTCTTCCTCCAGATGCCTGCCGTACACGTTGCTTTCCCCGTTGCCATGCCCGGGGACAAGCTAAACCCTGACCTTTTGTGTTGTTGTTGTTGTTACACAACGGTGAGCTCCTTAAACAGGTGGCAACACGAATTATGAGTTCCTCCTGCCTTGCTACCGGGAGGTACGGGTCCCGGAGTCGTTCGTGCGCATGACAGATTTCAGAGCAAGGGTCAAATCCCTCACTTTATTTCGACGCCGCATCTCCCATAATTGATGCTCGAAAGGCCCTCTGGGGTTTCTAGGTGGGTCAGTTGTAAGTGAAATGACTTATGGCTTTGAAGCCACTTTGTCTACCCACCCTTTCGTCTCCTCCCCCCCAACAATGTGTTTTTTTTTCTCAAAAGAAATGACAGCCCTGCATGTGGCTCGTCCAGACGCGGGCGTAGAATGTGTAAGCGGGAAGCAGAGTTACTCATGCACAGTCTGCGGCCTGACCTTTCAAACAATGAGCGCCTGCCAGACATTGCGCTCATTTTTTTCTTCGTTTTTTCCATTATGTATTTCCCGAGGCCCCAGCTCCCTCTGCACCCCCCACCCCCCACTACAACCACCCCCTCGCGGGTTGAAGTCTCAGAGCCAAGCTAATTAAGAGGCCGTTGAGGATTTTATGCCCCGCTCAACGCGTCCGCAAATCGTGCGAGGACTTGTACGAATTACACGTCCCGGGCAGAGCTTATTTTCGGAGCGCTGGGTTCACGCCCTGCACACACACCTGTACACACACACACTTACACACACCTGTACACACACACAAAGATAAAACAAAGATCCCCCGTAAAGCCTTAACAGACTGTAGGGGCAAGTGCTGTTAGCGAGCACCTATGAAGGCCGGAACGGTACGCGAGAGGATGGGTGGCCAGCACCACGCCCGACCGCCTTTGTCTCCCCAGTGGCGATATTTACACACCGCACCAGGTACTCATTTAAGGCTGAGTCGACCTAGGGGAGGCCCAGGACCGGTTCAGATAATCGTCACTGGTGTTAGCAGTGAGCGGGAATCGAACCCGGGTCGCCAGGTTCATAGCGCAGCGCGCTAACCGCTACACTACCGCTCCCCATTCACACCTGCACACACACCTGTACACACACACACACCTGTACACACACCTGTACACACACACACACCTGTACACACACCTGTACACACACACACCTGTACCGATCGTAAATGCAGATGTGCGGGAGTCACCGGAGCTGACGTGAACCCTGAAGCCGGAGCTGGCTACACCGTTCAAGCGGAATGAAGCAGATATGCAACAGTGTTCTTTTACATTAAAGTTGAGGGCGTTTCAAAGAGTTGTGATTCCAAAACTTCAGTCTCCCATGACCACCACCACTGTCCAACTTTACACGTCTATCAAGTCAAGCGAACGTGATGCACGTCACACAGAAAGCATGGACATTTCCCGGTGCAACGGTGCGACTCACTTGATGTGTCATTATTATATTCGCGCCATACCCACGAAAATAGCAGGTGTGGACCAAATATAACTGGAATGGACTGAGCAGGAATTGTGTTGCCTCCTATACTAGTCCAGTGAACTCCATGCCTGGTTTTATGGAAGGGTCTTCACTATGCCCTACAAAGTGCAGGACAGATCGTGGAAGGGGAGTGGGGGGTAACCGAGTCAAAAATAGGGTTTTGCAGCGTTCCGCTTTTTTAAAAATAGTCCAAAAGACTGCAGAGGTCAACAAATACCGTTAACTCTACACACGTGTTCAATTTATTAAACCGATTCGTTCAACACTCTAACGGGGGGGGGGGGGGGGGGGGCTACGTGTTTACCTGGTTATTTTTACAAATGCCGTCACACGATCGATGTGACGAATGTGGCGTAATTTTGGCAAAGAAACGTTCTTGGTATCCGACCCCCGGGTGTACGACTACGTTGTGGGATTTGAACCCACGACCTCCTTGCTTGCGAGGCATGCGTTCAACCAACTCATCCATCCGCACGTCTATATTTACGCGCTGCGCAATAAAAGTGGTGCTAACGTACGAGCGCACGTACGTGACGGCGTGAGATAGTGCACTGTGCACTCCACGTGCACCGTTTAATGTTGTTATCGCGCAAAAGGGCTTCAAATTATCCGTTGCGTGCCGCATTATTTGATTGCGTTCAGATGAGACCTTTGAAACGATCGTATATTACGGGGATGAGTAGTATTCTATGTTTTAGTGTGGAAATACTCCGTTCTGACACAGTGGTGCAAGCACTTCACTATGAACCCAGCGACCTGAGTTTGATTCCCATCAGTGGCAATGATATCTGAAACGGTCCCGAACACTGCCTTAATCCATCGTACACTGACCAGAGTAGTGAAGTATGGTCTTTTAGTTTCCCTGACTTTGGTGGGAGAATAGTGCATTTACAAAGGGCTATAAATTGTTGTTTGTTTTTGTACACTATTAAACTGCATAGCAAACAGTGCATAATCACATATTTACCATACCGTCATTTACATGTTGTTTTGACACAAGTGAATATCATTAAATACTGGAATGAATCTGACACACACACAGTACAGCATTAACTAAGTTACATTAGTTACACAGAAAGCCTTACTGAGTCTTTAAACTAATTTGACTCAATTTATCTGAACGCCATTTTTTAAGTCTTGCATTCTCCACCGATGCAAATAATAAAATGTATCATATTTATTCATGAAGCCTCACTGAGTCCAACGTGGATATTGTTTGGCCAATGCCACCGGTAAGTGTTTGGCTTCATGTGGGAGGAAGCCACATAATCTGGAGAACACCCAACCACCTCACGGTGCCACACCTACAACACCTGGCAAGCCTCCGGTTGCTTCGCGCTCCAGTACCAAACCAGGCTCAAGCCCAAGCTTGTCTTCTGGATTACCTCGAGAGAAATTCTCAAGTCCTGCAGAGGCACAATATTCGTAACCAGATTGCTGGATTGCACCCAACACGTCTGGCTCATTCAATGCGAGCTGTCGCTGAAACGAACGCTCGCTCCACACTCACGTTTTCTTGCCGCAGATCTGCTTCTGGTACCACTGCTTGCAGTTGGAGTAGTATTTCTTATCTGTGTCCACCACCTTCTGCACGGCGCACACGTTGGCCCTGTGGTGAGATCATCAGCTCGGTTAATGCGGAGCCAAAGATCCCCCAGACAGCCTTAACGGACTGTTGGGGCAAGTGCTGTTAGCAAGTGGCAACTATGACGGCCGGCACAGCACGCGAGAGGGTTGCACCACGCCCCGTTGCCCTTGTTCTCCCTGTGGCGATGTTTACACACCGCTACCAAGTACTCATTTGAGGCTGAGTCAACCCAGGGGAAGCCCAGGACCAATTCAGATTATCGTCGCTTACCCACGGACATACGCGTACGCCTCGCACAGCGTGAACACATTGCTCGCGGTGTCTAACGTGAACAGTTAATCGTAATAAATGTAATTAACGTGTTCAGCTCTGTGGTGCATATACCCTCTAGAAAGGAAATTAGGTCTAACATTTTTTTTAAGCCATGAAAAGGCTGAACTTTTTTTTCTCTACATGCTGTCGTTACACAAACTTTGAATACATTTTTAATTCCGTGAGTTTTTGCGGTGCGTATATATACATTTTTACTTTGGCATATTAGATACGGAATTGTACACAGAACAGTTCTGACCAACATTGTGAATTAAATTTGCTTAAATGGAAGTACTTTCAGAAATGTTGTCATTTATAAAATAATGCCTTAACGTACAAGTTGCTGAAATACTCTCTCTATATAAATGTAAAACGCACCTTATATCATGGATGAGCAAACGTAGAGACGAGTACACGCAAGAAGAAAAAGACATTTAAAAATGTCACGAAACAAAGGTAATCGAGAAGACATTGCCAACAAATTAATCGCGCAATAAATTCAACGCAGCCCTTTGCAAAAAGCCATCGCTTTTTGCTCCGACCGCCCCAAAATGTGTCCGTCGCTCGCAAAAACGTCGACAAGCGGCAAGATCTCGGACGAGAGAAAGAGAGAGACAGAACAAGAAAGATGGGGCATTGTTACCCTTGTGTCCGGCCGCGGATGCGACTGTGGGACACGGTGCGGTCGAAGTGCGACGCGTCCGCCACCAGCGAGAACGCCAGCGCAACGAGGAGACACGAGGCGAGCATGGTGCAGGTTCCCAGAGAGCCGAGCAGCGACACGAATGAGGTGGCCTCCGTCGCTCCACCGTCGTTATATAGGGGCTCAGGAGCCGGCTCCGGGTAGGCGGAGAAATCGCGGCCACGTTATTTGAGTGCCACTGGCTCTCCCCCCCCACTCCCCCCAAAAAAAGTGTTTTTCAAAGTGCGGCCACGGGGGGTTTTGCACGGAGGCAAATGCCCTCCAGTGGCAAGGAGGGGTAATTTTGCGTGTCACGCAATCGTTTTTAAGCTCCTTTTGTCAATCCACTGCTGGATGAAAGCATCCCCACGCCGTGTCTTTTGTGGGGGGGGAGGGAGGGGGGTAGGTGGTGGCGGTGGGGAGAGCTGTTTGACCGTACTTCAACACGCCGGTCAGTGCAGGTTTGCGAAGAGGAGACCACTCAGGATTGTTTCAAATATCGCTCGAATTTGTATGTTACGCGTCTGAAGGAGTTGGGTCGTCAGACTCGTAGCGCAGCGCGCTAACCACTGTGCCACTGCTCCACCCTGCCTGTACCGTGTAATATGCATCGGTGGCTGGATATCCTAAGAGTTGACACTCTCACCGCTAACCTAACTATTTCAGACGCTGTCTTCTCGACAGACCTGCTCTCCACCTGAGGACGGCTGCTTGCGTTGTGGCCGAAACGTCGTGAGAATTATTTTATTATTTCCATTCTACGTGACTTTACCGAAAGAACCAAGAAGATGAATCCCTACAGTCACGAAAGCTTTAAATCGAAATTTAACTATGGACATTAAGTTGACGTCGTATGCTGTTGTCACGGCCCAAATCCCACTGTTTGAAAGATTACATAGAGCAAGGCCACTCCACGTATCACTCGCCACCGATGTTAGCCGAGGTCACCGGGTTGTGAGCATAGGAACTTTGACAATGCTCCCCCCCTGGTACTTTGGCTCGCCGTTGTCAAGGCTGAATGATGGCTGCTGTGGAGCATTAGTAGCTCAGATGTCACGAAGCCACTGATGTTCGCCATGACTGGGGAATACAGCTCGGGTTGTCAAGATTGTCGAAGGGAATTTGTGGATGTCAGCTCATGGAGAGTTTTCCAAGATTCTGATCCTCTCACCCGTCAAGGTCCACATTTCCATCTTCCAAAATCTTCAAAGACAAATTTGAATTCTGCACGGTGTTGGGGCATGTAGAATGTAAGTGTGGAATATCTATCCAGGATACTTCAATTTAGTGCCTGGTGTGAATTAATTTCGCGCTGATTTTTGCACATTCAAAAACCACAAATATAAATGTAACTAAAAATTTCACTTAATAATGACTGTATTTGTCAGAAACAAGCCAAACTACATTTTAAATACAGAACTCTGCTGGTCTGCTTCCACTGGAGCAGCCAATTGGGTGCAACGAAATCTCTTACCAGCAGTCCTATTTGTCCAGTTACCTGTGGTACATCCACACATTTTCTCTTACGGATAAGTGGAGTACACTTGCGTTAACCCGCGGATAATAGTATCCACAATGATAGGGGTTCCCCACACATCGCCAGTACGTTGCGCGGGGCCTTAGTGTCCGGACGCAACAACTCTTTGTGCCGTTTAAAAAAAACAGACAGATCTTACATGGAGATGTAACTCAAGTGACCTCTGGTGGATAAAATGCTCAGTGGTTGGCAGATTTCTTCGGCTCTAACGCGAACGGTTCAAAAACAAGAGTCGAACAAAATCTGGCTTGCATCGCACTCTCGCAAAGGAGGCATGCATAAATTATGTTTGTTTGAGCGTGAAGTGCCCTTTTTGCTTAAATATATATTTTAACAAGACAAAAAACAACTTCGGATCTCGTATCTTCATTTAGAACGTTTTGTTCCAAGCTGGTGGGAAAATTATGAGCGCACCCTAACGGCGAAATCGTAATTCCTCGGGCAATAAAATCTTGAAAACTATAAATAATGAACTAATGGCTAATAAACATGTTCATAACTATCAATGCTTAATTTTTGTCCATTACACACATCCTGGCCCATCTAAGAACAGATTTCAATATGAAGCAATTCACGATTTACTCGTTTGCCAACGGCTTCCAATTTATGGTCTCGGCAGTAATAATAGTTCAATTTGTAACGCGCGCAAATTTGCAGACGTAGTGGCCGCAACTCAGAGGCGCGGAGCCAAGCTCAGAGTCGCTCAAAAGCATGATTGTAGAGGTGAGTTTTTAAGTGTCTCTTGAAGGAGGCGATTGAGGTGATGCTGCGAATGTGCAGAGGGATATCGTTCCAGACAGTTGGGGCTGCCACCGAGAAGCGGCGCATAGACACGATGACCATCCTGGATCTTGGTATCAAGAGGAGGTCGTGAGTCGCGCTGCGCAGGCATCTGCCGTGTGCTGAGCTGCAAGTTGTCAATAATGAAGAAAGGTACGGCGGGCAGGCGGATACAGGCGCTTTGTTCCTTTGCACAGTAACCACAGTTTAACCCTCGCCATTATTCCTCGTGATGCTTGCCAGTGGATTAAACAGCTCAAATGGAAATTTTCCACCAGGGCGGTCAAATATCGCAGAGGTGAGAATTGTGCAGCCAATTGCCCAGTCGAAAGTTCATATTCTGATCCGCGGACTAAATAAATAAAATAAAATAATTTAATTTGACCAGGTAAGGCCCCCTGAGCTATATAGCTGTTTTTCAGATGCGACCTAGCCACAAATGATAACTCAACGAAGTGGCTTATCATGTTGAAGTTTGCAGCAGCCAAATACTCTAAACGCGTGATGTTGATTCTAGATGTGGAGGGAACAACCGGAGGACAAGAGAAAAATCCACGTGACCACGGGGAGAGAGAGAGAGAGAGAAAACATTCAAACTCCAAATACTCAGGCAACAGGGTCGGGGCTCGAACCTACGACCTCCTGCATACCAGGCAAGGCCGTTAACATCTCGCTGCCGTGGCACCACGATGAATGTAGACTGGACTCCAACGAAATAACCAAAGAGTATGGATTCCTGCAGTCACGAAAGCTTCAAACCAAGATTGGACTCCAACGCTCCATGGACTCGCCAGCACCAGCCTCTCCTATCTCATTGGCAACTAAGTGGCAAGTGGCGTGGGGCAATTGCCACTTAGTTGCCAGAAGTTCGCGGTTCGAATCCAGCGGCCGCCTTGGTTATCGCTGTGCGTGCACTTGCCGTAAACACAGCGTCTGCTTCACAGCCCACATTAAATATCCCACAACGTGATTGACAGGAGCAGGCCATTGTGACCTGCCGTCGTGGTCCAATGATTGAGAAGTTACCTGCGAATGACTCGATTGGGATCACACACGGCAACATTTGCCTCCCAACTGAGATGCTACTGATGACTGCGTCTGTGAAGCACAGCGCCTTGCGCTATACGAATGGGCGCGAATATCAAATGTATGACATTCTTATTAATATTAGTTTGCAAATCTACGTCTCCATTGTATTGCAATCACGCCCGCACACAAACCGTAAATACGCACTCATCAATTAACGATTACATCCGTATGTTTATTACACTGCAATATAACAGTTTGTAGTGTCGTCGGCTACTGCATTAATTACGTAACACAGCGTTTTGTTGATTTTCCTCGTTTCAACAGTACATTGGCAAAGATATAGAATCCAGTGTATGCTTTGTATACAATGCATAGTGGCGCTCTACACATACCTATGCAGTCTATTCCAAATACAGCAGGTACGTCTACACAACATCCTCTTGCTAAAAGTGCGTGCAGGCCGCATGGCTCAGTGCTTCTCATATGCGCATATTGCCAATCCGTTTGGCAGATTAGCAGAAGGATTATATGCTGCGCGGTGCTCTTAAAGTCACGCGTAGAGTGTGTAACTTTGGCCTCAAGGTCTCCGAACACCGTAATACATTTGTGGCAGGATGCGTGTTTCTGTTTTTTTTTTGCAGCAAACCGGACAGCGCGATGAAAATTCACAGGCCTTGCTAATTGGTGCGAGGCATAGTGGCCTCCATCTGTTGCCATGACGATGTACAAGGGCACACGGCAGGGGGAGAGGGGTTAATCAACTACAGAGTAAACAAAGCAACGTTGGGGCAACGTTAGAATGTGATTAGGACCGTTGGACCAATGTTCAATCAACATTGGTCCAAGGTTCCATGTTTACTGGGAGCCGTTATAGTAAAAACATTTAAAACACAAGCTTTAACAGGCAAAATATAAAAAAAACTTAAACTATACTAGTACAGTATTGGAATATGACTTACAAATATGATCATTGGTAAAAGTTGAAGAAAAAAAAACTAAATTTATTATTTTCCATTTGGGGGCCACGAACAGACGGCCATCTTGGTGCAGTCTTGTCAGAAAAGTGATCATGTGACCGTGAGCAGCCAATCACGAGGCTGCAGTCCTCCCTACAAATGCATCCTCAAAGTCAAGAGATTGTGATCCTGGAAGGAATGGCTTCCAATTCCGTTGCAGAATGCAGCCTTGAAGCTGGAAACCAACGGCAGCTTGCAGCAACACACGACATATGCTCAAGGTCTCACTTTGATCCAAAATCAAACTAGCTTCGCTTGCAGCTTCCACCAAAACGTTGGCTCCTGAAGTAGATTTGAAATTTGTCTTTGAATCAAACAGAACGAGCAGAAATGGGATTATTTTACTTTAACTCCTACGAGTTTTGGAGTCTTGTAAAGTTGTAAGCATCGACATGTGTGAATAAATTGATCTCTTAGATGCCATGTGACGCAGCAGTCCACATAAAACGTGTGCAGTTTATCAGTATTCCAAAAGTACTTCCAGCCTTCAGCATCTTTATTTTTAAAAAGTTTCTTTACTATTATCTTCTCAGGAGCCTGAACAACATAACATTTTTATCAGAGCAAGAAAATCCACAACTTCTGCCGCAGTCCCAGTTCAGAAGAAGCAGTTTCCTCGGAAAAAAACTTAATCGGTTTTTTTTTATCTTCCATCTCCAGAGCTGTAAAGTTCACAGAGTACCTCTTTTGTTGATGTTGCTATTGATGTCAATATATATATTTTTCAATCTTCAATAAAATGGCAAATACAAGCGGCTCGAAATAAACAAAAAAAAAGAACAAAAAAAACAAACTACGAACGAGCCATTGAGATCAGAGTCGAGTTGTCACGTAGGGCCCCGACATGCCGTGCCACGGTCCATCCCCAAACACCGCGTCCTCCTCCTCCTCTCCGTGCTCAAACACCACGTTGGCAAAGTCGAACCGCGACGACTCGGGGCTGAAGACGCAGGCGAGCCTCTCCAACGATCCCTGCGACGCCTCGTCTCCCCTCTCGTCCGCCACCATCGACGCGCTGGAGGAAGCCGCCGCGCAGTCCGCGGCCGTCGCACGACACGGGAGGCCGGCCGGCCGAGGTGACGGAGCAGGGATTGGCGGCGGCGGCGCCGCGCGACGACGAGCACCCGGGAACATCCGCGCCCGCGAGGTGCGACGGCGAGTAGAAGCCGAAGCGGAACCGCCGCTTGCGCCGAGGCGGCGGTGCCGCTGCGGCCTGCACGCCCGCCTGCCGGAGGCCGCTCCCTCCTCGCCGCCGCGCCACGCTCTCGGACAGCGAGCGGATGCGCCGCACGTTGCGCCGCGGCAGCAGCTCCAGCTTGCCGAGGAAGCGGCCGCCGGGCCGCGGCAGGTGCCTGTTGAGCCGCCCGCCGACCCCGTTCACGCACGTCCCGCCGAAGCCGCCGAACCCGTCCGATATGAGCACGCCGTTGCTCCCGTGGCCGAAGGAGAGCGCGTCCCAGGTCTCCGCCTGCGTGGGGATCAAGAATTCGGGCCGGCACGCGGTGCGCGCCTCGGCCGGTTCGCACCGCTCGCCGCCGCCGGCATCGTCTGTCTGCGGGGGGCGCGGAGTGACGTCGAACGGGCAGCCGTGGGGCGGGTGGCCTCCGTCTCGCTGGGGCGCGTGGCCCGCAGCGCCGCCTCCGAGGTCCGAGTCGTCCGCCAGGCTGGCGTGGGCGCCGCCCCCCGCCCCGCGGCGTGGGAAGCACGTGTCCGTCTCGGGGCTGCTCTTGTCGGGCGTCGTGGAAATCTGCGAGGTGTCAACGGACGAGCCTCGCCGCTGGGAAGCCGCGTCGAGCATGCTCATGACCTCGTAGCGGAAGCTCGAGATGTCCTGCTTTAGCTCCTGGGGACAACAGAGATTCGACCCTTGGCCACCACATCCAACTGGGCTACTGGATTCGTTGAGAATCCTTTTGAGATATCTCGCAGTGCAGAAGCAGATGTCATAGATCTACTTCTGAGATTACTTCTAATTTCCTTTAATCCACAGATTAGGAGATAGAGTTTATCACACACCCGGTATATGGGAAAACTTTTGTCGCATGAAAAAGTAATATACTCTATATATTACTTCTGAGAGCTTGGAATATATCCAAGTTCAGTGAAAAAATGTAATACAGGTTTTTTTGTGTCGTCAAACCCGCCACCACCCGACACAGCCAACTAGTAAGGTTTGTCACGTAAACAGAACATGCCAATTTGTTGCTAGTACAGCACACCGGTGTGTTGTAGAGCCAAGCCACAATATTTACAATCTGAGTACGGCGTTTCGCCAGTAATTACAACTAGCTTCATCAGGCGACAGCCAGATTTGTAAAGTCCTCCTGTTTTGTTCCTGACATAGAGGGGTAGATGTGATGACAACACTTGTGTGGGGGGGGGGGGGGAAGTAATGAATCCATATAAATGACTGAGTATCCATTGCCATTTGGGTTGTTTATATGGTAATCAACGTACATTATGCATGCGCATTATGCAAGCCCATTGTCCTCGTACTTCGTGTCGATTGTGTGTACTAAAATAGCCATACCAACGGTAATCCAACGTATTTAATGACACATGTATATGTTTACGCGATCTAACCCAAAAAAAACCCTGTATTATAGATTATATTGATAGCCTACGTGTTAAACTGAAAAAACGTACAGTAAAACCTTGGATTGCGAGTTACTTGGTATGCGAGTGTTTTGCAAGACGAGCATTTTTTTAAAATAAATATAAATTTGATAAACGAGCAATACGAGTAGTACGTGTATACGCTTTGTCTGCCGAGCGTCACGTGATCACAACTGATATACGAGTGCTTTGGATTACAAACACGTTTCCGGAACGAATTATGCTCGCAATCCAAGGTTTTACTGTAATTGTTATTTTGTGCACTCATTGGGTTGAGTGCCCTGATCATGAGTATCAGGACGATCATACACAAACCTCTCCAAAATGAATACCTTATTGAGCATGTACCACTGAGAAGACGCCAGCAGCTAGCATCTGCTGATGAGCTGCAGCAGGGCCGAAGCCTTACCTTGAAGCTATCCTCAACCAGGCTCTCCCCAGACCTCTCGTTCCTGACCATCGCTGCCACGTAGCGCTTAACGAGATTCTTGATGACCTCCTGAAACACAGGGGGGGGGGGCGGTGAAATCGTAAAAATGTATTTTTAAGTTATGGTGGGCGGACAAACGATGAGTAATTTCTTGTCCTTCCTCCGTTAATGTCTTAATGTGGCCCAATACCTCATCGACAGTGTCCCCAATGGCTACCTGGGGCTTTGTCACGAGACTGGTTCCCAACACAGAATGCTCGTGACTTATGACCACGTAAATCACCACTTCTCGATGCTCGTGATCGCATGAGAAACGACAGTTCATCAGTGTGACGATGCAGTGGAGCTCCGTAATAGGCGTTTATAAAACTAGTGAAAGAAATAACATCAGCGCAAAACATATAACGTCTAATGCAGGAAGCAAATTGGCATGGGGAATAATGATGTATTACAGTGGAACCTCGGTATACGACCGATTTGGAATAAGTCTAATTTGGTATACGTCGTGTTTTTTCGAGAAAAAAACGTCTTGGGATACTACGTCTTGCTTGGGATACGACGTGTGGCTTCTGTATGCATTTTAGTAATTAGTGTCTAAATTATTTTATACAACCCCATTAATGTATAATATGCCATATAAAATATCATTTATTTTCCTCTGGAACGGATTATTTTCTTTCCCTTTATTTCTTATGTGGGAAAAAATTAGTTTGGTATACGTCATTTTCGGTATAAGTCCTACCTTCTGGAACAAATTAATGACGCATACCGAAGTACCACTGTATTATATTATCAGTCGTGAGTAATACATCAGCGGTGAGCGGCTGAGCGTTAAATATCAGAAACCCATTGTTACCTGATATTCATGAGTTCTTCTTAAGTTGTCTGAAGTCTTCTTCTGAACAGATAAAAGAAAAACAATGTTAAATGCAGTGCACCAAAATTGGTTTATGGTACATTTCACGTAAAAGTTTTGTGGTTGGCTGAACGGAAATGGCGCAGAAATGTGTGCGTACAATATTTGGTTTAACACTTTAGCTTTCCAAAACAAAAACCTGTATTATGGATCGTACAATATTTGTTTACGTGTGTCGGAGTTTTCGTATTTATTTTCCAGGACGTATGCATGTTGAATTTCCTTGGCGCCGCACGTAGCCAACGGTGCCAGTCGGAGGTGCGATTTCCACCACTTATGACAAGAATAAACCTCACCACCCACAGTCGTTAACCCAGCTTCTAGAAATACGGGCACGCTGCCACAGTGGTGTAGTGGTTCGCACACCGGACTTGCAATCCAGAGGTCACCGGCTCGATCTCCTGGCATGGTGTTTGAAACAGTGGTGAAACTTTCTTAAATCCCACCCCCGCCGCCTCCACCATCGAGCGGAATAACTGGGTTGAACCACAGTTATTTCTTTCAGACTCTGTCTTCTCGACAGACCTGTTCTCCACCTGAGGACGGCTGATTGCGTTGTGGCCGAAACGTCGTGAGAATTAATTTATTATGTTTAATTTTTATTATTTTATTATTTCCATTCTACGTGACTTTACCGAAAGAACCAAGAAAACACAGTTATTTCATCGGCAGGTCGCATGCGGTGACGTTGTATTCTATTCTTGCGATGATGACAGTCGTACGTTCTGGAGCTAAATTTTAATGCCGATGTCTGCTTGCCACAACCAGAAGGCTTTAGGAGAGAGAGACAGTGTGGTGTTGTTATTCATCCTCCTTCGTTCAGGGAGTGCAGACTACAGTTGTTTGACTCGACGGTCCACAGTTTGGGTTGCACGGCCCTAATTGTGCCACTGTGGTTTGTGCATTTAATTTTCCACATATGGAAGGAGATGTGCGCATCGGCTTGTTGTTGTTGTTCTGATGGTTCCACCGGTGTCTTCGAGCAGGAATGTCAGAGCCAGGAGGTGCGATGCTTTGGGTCTTGAATGAGGTGTATATTTGAGAGGTAAAGTGTGGGTACTCCCACATGTTTGAAGATGTACTATCTCGAGCTCCCTTTGGTGGAGGCCCTTCCGCCAGCAGTTGCATGAGCAAACAGTTGCAGGGCTGCATCTTCGACTTTGTCCATAACTACGCTCTCCAAGAACTAAACAATTCAGAGATTTCAAACCTTGAGAATAAAGGTCCACTGCCAAAAACGTGAGCATATTATACACTCCTCATGTTGCGGTGCTCTGGTATTAAATGATGGCTGCAGTAAATGGTTTTTCAGTCTGCCTCTAAACTATCGACAAAGCTGTCCATTGGAGGAAAATGCAGTAAAAAAAACGAACGGATTCCAATTTATTTCGTTACCAAATATCGATCCGTCGCAGTGCAGCAGTTTAACTCCGCTGCTATAAATAGAAAACTGCCGATTCACCTCTGAACTTATCGAATCGGTTCCTGGACCGAGCGCCACCCCTTCATTGCTTTTTAAACTTCCTGGTGTGAGCTGGGCTCGAGTGATTGAACATGACCAGCTTCCACAATGCACTAGGCATGCAGTGGTAAGAGGCAAAAGCGCAGCAGTGCAATTTCCTGTTTGAACCACTTCTGGTTGCTGGACTTCCACGAGGCAATTTTGGCCTACTCTCTCATGCTCGGAGAGGTGAGATTACCCACATTTTACACTTTACCCACCGTATGCAACCTCCCGATCGATTCACTGTGGTGTAACCCAGTTACACTAAACTAAATTATAATTCGTTTTTTTTTTACCACTGAGCTACATAGCTCTTCTTCTTGGTTCTTTCGGTAAAGTCACGTAGAAGGGAAATAATAAAATAATAAAAATAAAACATAATAAAATAATTCTCACGACGTTTCGGCCACAACGCAAGCAGCCGTCCTCAGGTGAAGAATGAAGAATGAAGAAACGTCGTGAGAATTATTTTATTATGTTTTATTTTTTATTATTTTATTACTTCCCTTCTACGTGACTTTACCGAAAGAACCAAGAAGATGAATCCCTGCAGTCACGAAAGCTTTAAATCGATACATAGCTCTTTTTCAGAAGCGACCTGGGCACAAATCATAGCGCAACAAAGTGGCTTATCATCGTGTAAATTTATAGCAGCCAAATACACGGAGGACCGAGAGAAAATCCACATGACCACGCCTGTATACCAGGCGAGGTAGTTAACATCTCGCCACTGTGACGCCTTACTGGGCGAACAGAGGTGGTGGTGGATTTAACAAAAACCTGCCCTGTTTCAACTGCCACTCCGGGAGATTGAACCAGTGACCTCTGAACTGCAAGCCCAGCGTGCTCACCATTACACCACAGCAGCAGCCACAGTGGTGTAGACGTATTCAACTGTATTACAATCACAAAGTTGTTATATTGGTAGAACGCGGTATGACTTTTAAGTAAAAAAAAATCTCACCGATGACGATTTAAGCTCATATCAGATAGCTTTGGATACGCGGTCTAAATTTAGATTATAGCGTGCTTTGATTTTTTTTGGTGGCATCTTCATTTAATTTCTATTTGAAATAGGCCAATAAATTTGCATTACGGATATAGATGTGTATTTATTGGGCACATAAGATACCTTCCATCTCATCTCAACCATTCCACTGCCCTGCTGTCGTCTAGCCAAAGGGGGCCCTCCCAGAGTGGCATCTGTCCCTGTTCAGAATTCCTGGTATTTTTTTTAGCAGTGCAATTGAACGTTTACCCCGATGGCGCCGAACTTGCGATGCTTCCTGATGGGCTCGCCTGCCGTGCCGGGGCCGCACGGGCAGATGCAAGCGCGCACGTAGCGGCACAGGTACCACGCGGACTTGGGGCTCGGCACGATGTTGAAGGGGGGCGGCAGTGTGGCACCCTCCTCGAAGTAGCTCATCCACAGCTTGGTCCGCGCAAACTTCCACTCGATGTCGGCGTGGTCCTGCGAAGGACGCGGGCGTGTTACAGGGCACGGGGGGCTCGACGCAGGGCCGTTGAAAGTGAGCCCGATGCACGCTGGGCCGTTCAAAGAAAGATCCAGCTTGTTCTTGGTTCTTTCGGTAAAGTCACGTAGAAGAGAAATAATAAAATAATAAAAATGAACATAATAAAATCATTCTCACGACGTTTTGGTCACAACGCAAGCAGCCGTCCTCAGGTGAAAAACAGGTCTGTCGGGAAGACAGAGTCTGAAAGACACACCCCAGGCTTGGAGCCTCCTACGCATTTTACAAGTAGTACTAATCCCATATCTGCATTTCCCATAAATATGCTAAATTCCTATTGATATGCAAATTATTTTGTCAAGGCGCTCTTCCCTCTCCAACCCAGCTTAAATAGACGCTCCAAGCGTGGGGTGTTTCATTCAGACGCTGTCTTCCCGACAGACCTGTTTTTCACCTGAGGACGGCTGCTTGCGTTGTGGCCGAAACTTCGTGAGAATAATTTTATTATGTTTTATTTTTATTATTTTATTATTTCCCTTCTACGTGACTTTACCGACAGAACCAAGAAGATGAATCCCTGCAGTCACGAAAGCTTTAAATCGAAAGATCCAGCGTGACTCGTCACTTTGTCCCAGCGCTGCAAGAGCCAAGCTATCGAAGCATCAGAAAGGGCGCATGGAGGAAGACGTGGTGGAACTAAGATTGAAGTCAGAATGTTTAGAATCAGAATACTTAAGAATATAAGTTGACCGGTCTGTGAGTAGAATTCTAGATTTGAAGCTTTCGTGACTGCAATGATTCATATTCTTAGGTTTTATCGGTAAAGTCACGTAGGTAAAAAACATTAAAAAGTAAAATAAAATAAAAATCACGACGTTTCGGAGGCAACACAAGCTTCCGTCTTCAGGTGGTACCGTCACAGCCACGACAGCTGTATCAAGTAAGATGAAAAAACCTAAGAATGTGAGTAGAATATCATGGTCAAAAGTGTCAAAGGCTTTTGACAAATCGAGGAATAGTGCACAGCAGTAGTGGGCTTTATCCAGGTTATTGAAGAGAAACTCTTATACTGCACATCCATCATAGCTGTGACGGTGCAGCAATCCTAACGAAGACCAAACTTTGCTGTGCAGGAGATTGCGAATTTTTAGGTATCACTTTATTTGTGTTTGAAGTATTTCATTAAGTAGAACGTGTTGTCTATATTTATTTAAATTTGTGCATTTTGATGTGACGTTACATTTCTCAACCCCCCCCCCCTTCGTCACACATCGTCACAAATGTCTGACACCCCCCCCCCATAGGTGCGTGACGTCATTTATGGACGGCCCCTTTGGCTGCGCTGCTGCCCCTCCCCTGCCCACACCTTCCATTGCTCTTTAGTGGTCACCCATCCAAGCACTATGCAGGTTCAAACCTGCTTAGCTTTCGAGGTCCTGATTCCACGTGATTTGGATCAGAGGCAGATGCACGTGTGATGGGTTGGCATGCAACGATCGCATAACTAAAATGCATTCTCCTGCTCACAAAACCGTACAAAGTTACACGACTCCTGCAGCCACTAGAGGTCGCTACGCTGAAGTAAATATGACTCTAGAAACAAATTAAAAAATTCACGACGTTTCGGAAGCAACACAAGCCTCCGTCTTCAGGTGGAACCGTCACAGCCACGACAGCTGTATCAAGTAAATGAGAGATCACAAGAAATACTACCCCGTATATATAATGGTTGAGGGGGGAAGGGCCAGGAACCATTATATATACGGGATAGTATTTCTTGTGATCTCTCATTTACTTGATACAGCTGTCGTGGCTGTGACGGTTCCACCTGAAGACGGAGGCTTGTGTTGCTTCCGAAACGTCGTGAATTTTTTAATTTGTTTAATTTTACTTTGATTAACTTTATTAATTTAAAATTTTTACCTACATGACTTTACCGAAAAAACCTAAGAGTATGAATCCTTGCAGTCACGAACGCTTCAAATCTAGAATGACTCTAGAAATGAATCGTGACCCCTAATTTTGGCAATTTATCAAATCACCTGGTTTAGAGAGGGGGGGTGGGGGTGTTGAATCATTGCTCCCCTCACACAGCGTTCAGTTTTTTTCCCCCCTGACCTGGCACGAACGTTTCTGCGTCAGCAAAACTCGGCGCAGATGTTTGTACCATTCCGTGTAATTTCCTTTAGCGCCGGAGTTGACGATGCATCTATAATGCTCCTTTGTGCTGCTGCGGTGAGCCAGCAGCAGCAAGCAAGCAAGGCAGTAGCGATACTGCTATTGCAGCCGTGCAACCTACTCAAAATAAACAGGCGGTCTTTCCACTAGGTGGCACATTGGCAACGCAGTGTTTTCAAAGCTGCTGCTGATGCTGCGGCTGGACTGGCCATGTTGGCGGCACGGCGTTGACTCAATCGGGGCCACCCAGAAACGCTGGACTGAACGAAACGAGGAGCGCTGACTTTGGACATTTCCCCGTGAATTTTGTGAAATGGAGCGCGTCGCTGGCAATGCAAAACAAAAACCAGAAATAAATAATAAAACTCGCCGAGCATTGAGCTTGCAGTACGATGCACGATAAGACGGAACATAAACGCTGGCTTGCTTTGCTTTTTTAAAATGTATGAACACCCCACTTTTCTCAACTGAAATCTAAACAATTTTACTTTACCAGGTAAGTACACTCAGCTATTGAGCTCTTTTTCAGAAGCCACGAATGATAACGAAGTGGCTTGTGTGGAAATTTATAGCCGCCGAATACTTTATAAACACGTGTTTATAAATGTGGAGGGGAAAACCGGAGGACCCGGTGAAAAATCCACGCGACCACGGGGAGAAAATGTAAACTCCAAATATACAGGCATCAGGGTCAGAATGAAACTCACCAGGCGAGGTAGTTAACATCTCACCACCGTGGTGACCCACGGTGTTTTGGAAAGCATTACAACTTGTCTATGAATATTGCCACTTGTACCATTTTCCAACGAAGTGAATTGGGTTTTTTCCATTTGGCTATATATATTTTTCTCTCCCAAATATTTATTCTGCACACTTGTATAGTGTGTGTAGTGCATGGGGGGGGGGGGGGGCGGGGTGCAGTCTAGAATTGAAAAGAAGGCGGTGGTGGTAGGAAGGGTATGTGGACTGGACTCATGGGTTGAGGGCATGCATTTTGTCAAATAGATGGGATCACACAGGTGGTTTCACTGAAAGTTTTCAGATAGATCGACTTACTCGTGGGTGTACCAACTCGTGCTTTTAACGATAAATTAACACGCTATCTATTAATGCCTCATTAGAGATGCTACATGATGTTAAAGAACACCTGGGAAATTAGGAATTCTTACTCAACGATCAACACGGATACCCGAGGGGCACGTAGGATCCATTGTGAATGTGACCCCGTGTGGACAAAACCATTAGTCTCAATTTGTTCTCATTGATCCTTGTGATGAGTCTGCAAGTGTTGTCTGTCGTCAGGCGTTGTCAGAAATGTATTTTATTGTAATGCTACGATCGTGCGCAACTTTGCGGATTGCATTTAGCAGGTAATTCGTTAGACGGTTAATTTTGGTGTCACTCCGCACTGTTCAAACACGGTTGCAATTCACCGGAACATTTCAAATTGAGGCTTATCAGATGAAGTATAAGACAGAGGCAAGCCTGCCGGGTAGTGCGCAGCCAAAGTACACGTGAAACTTATACACGATGAGCGTCCGCTTACATAAATACATGACAGAGCCCAAGGGTCAGTGTTTACATATCCTTAAAAGTAGGCCCTGCTTACACGGGATGCTGCCGTGGTGTAATGGTTAGCACACTGGACTTGCAATCCAGAGGTCGCCGGTTCGATCTTCCGGCGCGGCTGTTGAAACAATGGGAACATTTCTTAAATCCCCCCCGCCTCCGTCCCCCCTAGAAAGTAGAAATGGGTTGACCACAGTTAGTCGGTCAGCAGGTCACGTGAGGTGGGCCAAAGCGCGGGTAATACCACCTCTTCCAGGGCGTTTGGAAGAGTAGGCCAAAATGCCCATCTCGAGGGGCTCTCTAGAACTCCCCTTTAGTGGAGGCCCTTCCGTCAGCAGTGGCGTGAGCAAGCAATTTCATTGGTGCTCCATAAGCTCTTACATCTTTAGGCCCTGCTCAAGACCACTATTAGACATGCGCTCACCACCACGGCCTCCACTCTCACAAGAGCAGGGACAATGGCTGGCTTTGCGTTGCTTTGACCTGGCCAGGTGGGTCTGTGTGTGGGTGCGAGCACTGACCGCGATGAGCTGGTAGGAGTTGTTCATCATCGCGATGAGCATGTTGAGCAGCACCACGAGCGAGATGATGTTGTATGTGCCGAACATGGTGGCGCCCACGAACTCGGTGAACTCGTGGGGCGCGCGCACGTTGGTCACGTAGAGGTTGATGAGCCCGAAGATCGACCAGAAGAGCGACTGCAGCGTCTCGAACAGCCTGGCACGTCACGGGGGAAATGAAGAGCGAGAGTGGGTACGTGATAATTTGTATATTTATCCAGGAAAGTCACACTGAGTCATCAGGAGGGTCCTGCATTGGGATTTTACTTAAAGATTTTTGTTCAGCCAATTTGTGTCGATTTATACAAGTGGGAGGTAGTCGGAGCACCCGGTGGGAACCCCACGCGCACAGATGGAAACAGATGGTGACTCACTGTCCTGGCAAGTCAGAATATGTCACCACCTCGACACTCACGGGAAGGGAGTTTCACAAACATTTGTGCGATCTGCCAACCCCTCGCTGCCTCCACAGTGCTGGGTTACAAGCCACGTGCATAGCCACCACCGCCCGGCCGAGGGTACTGTATGCATTTAGAGGTGCACTTAAATGCCCAGCATCTCAAAGCGCCTTACATATCATCTCAACCCTTTAGCAGCTTAGCCTATGGGTCCCCCCAGTGGCAGCTGTCCCTGTGCGGCACCAGGAGTTCGCAGCATCGGCCTGATAATGGGTCCTCTCTGCCAGTAGGAGGTTGCATTGCTACGTGCCATTTCCTAATTATGCAATGATGCATGGATTTATTGATTAAAATCGATCCTTAAGGCAATTGCACAATTGGAAAATTTCAGGGAAATCATATTCGTTGCACGGTTTTGTAATGAGGGTGTTAGCAACTTGTGATCTTTCTAATGATCAGCAAAGAGTTATTAAGGTTTCTCTTTGAAATGTTTCATTCGTGGGGTCCCAGCTCCCCTAATAATGAGTTGTCACTGCAAGAAGGGGGAGCAGGGAACATTCTTGAGATTCGGTGGAGACATCTCTGGGTGAAGGGCAATGTTATTATTGTTGTTGTTGTTTAAAAAAGAAAGAGTATGGGAGTTACGTGTGAGAGTAAAGTGAGGAGCGAGAGAGGCTGGGAGGAGACAATTTCGTGTGCATGGATGGGTATAGCGGTTCATCTTCAGGTGCCACGAGGGGGTGTTAGGGGAGATGGAGAACCACAACGGATGCCCAAACCGTCCAAAATCGATGATCGTCAAACCCTTAATGTGCACGAGCCAGTAAGCCTGAAATTAAATCCATGCAGTGTAATTCAAATTCAATGTCATTTATTTCACCAAGTGAAATTCATTATCTCTTTTGCATGAGGGGACCTTGGTAACCATACTCTTAGTTTTTTTCGGTAAAGTCACGTAGGTAAAAAATAAAAATAATATTCATAATAATAGAAATAAAATAATAAATCACGACGTTTCGGAGGCAACACAAGTCTCCGTCATCAGGTGGGACCGTCACAGCTAAATTTACTGCATCAGTAACCGCAGCTGCACAGTGGCAGTTATTTTATAGCCTTTTTAGATTCGGGCTGCTGTACCGACACGCATCGGCATACTCCTGCGAACGACGTCACAGCCTCGGAATGGTTTGTGATTTGGTAACATGCGTGCACGCCCGCACGCCCGCACGCCCGTCCAGACGCTCATGCCCACGTTGAGAAGGCGTTGTTTTGCTTCTCGCAGCGGATGCCCTTGCAGGTGTCATTCCCCTGCCCGGCGGACGTCTCGTAGTAGAAGTACAGCTGGTTGAGGCCGTTGGCGAAGGCGAGCAGCACGAGGCAGTAGATGAAGAGGAACTTGAGGATGTCTAGCAGCATGCGGCCCAGCGAGATCTGCAGGGGCCCCAGGTGCGAGTTGGCCGTGAAGAGCGAGATGAGACGCAACGAGCTGAAGATGTTGGCGATGGCGAAGAGGGCCTCGGCCACGAGCGTCGGGTGCCACATCTCCCACTGCTCGCGCGCCTTCGAGCCGCTGTACTGTGAGGGTAGGGGTGGCGGTGACGGCGGTGGTGGCAAAAAGGAGAGAGGGTGGAGATGGAGGAAGGATTGGCAGGGTGAGATATTTGTCAGCGCCGTACCTCCGCACTGGTGGTCCGTGTGACCTCCAGTTTTGGATTCTGTGAAGGAAGAAAAACTCGTGGGTTTGTGCAACACTTTCCAACGCGCGTTTTGCCCGCAGAGGGCTTTAATTAGCGGCAACGACGGCATCGTTGACATTAGGTGCACGACTAACGGCAGGTCTGTCGGTGGCGATGAGATAACGGGGCTTGGATGACGGCTCTGACGAGCAATTGACGGACGGGGCTAACGCGTAAATGCTTTCAAGCTGAGTTGCAAAGCGTCAAGAATGCTTTGCAAATGTTTTTTACCTGGAATGAAAACGCACGTGAACACATTACGGTACAGCATTGATCGTGGTGCATAAGACAATAAAAAATACTCGCCATGTTTATCGCGACCGCTGCCTTATAACCGAAATACGTACAGTATGTTTGATAGGCTTACACATATAGAATATCTTGAAACGTTATCTGATGTTGCAGGCAATGGTCTACTAGATATTATACAGCTGTAGAAATAATAATGAACAATTTAACACGTAGGGTTTCGCTACCAATATTATTCATAATAAAGGTTTTTGGGTTAAATCGCGTTATTTATAAATGTGTCGTAACCCTCCACCACCCGACACGGCCAAACAGTAACACACAGGTGGGCTAAAGTAGTGAACTATTTGTCTTTTGTCAACGTGACACTTTTTTTACTGTTTGGCCGTGTCGGGTGGTGGAGGGTTACGACACATTTATAAATGACGGGATCTAACCCAAAAAACTTTATTATGAATAATGAACAATTTCGATTTAAAGCTTTCGTGACTGCAGGGATTCATCTTCTTGGTTCTTGCGGTAAAGTCACGTAGAAGGGAAGTAATAAAATAATAAAAATAAAACATAATAAAATAAATATTTTAAATTAAAACATAATAAAACACAATAAAACAATTATTTTAAAATAAAACATAATAAAATAATTCTTTTATAATGTTTTATTTTGATTATTTTATTACTTCCCTTCTATGTGACTTTACTGAAAGAACCAAGAAGAATAATGAACAATTTACAACCCTTTGCCAATCCATTGCAACATTAAGGCACCCCCGCAGTATATCGGCCATTGGGGGGGTCGGTTGTTTGGCCGTGCATCACCGTGCTGCCGAGTGCGGATTGGCGAAGGCGCCTTCGATTCCGATGTCTCGTCGCTGATTTTTTGCCATGGGTGAGACTCAAACTCAGGTCACCTGGGTTCGCAGTGTAGTGGCATTACCTCCACTGCACCAGCGCTCCCCTCGCCCCCCCCCTCCCCATTCTGTAAGAAGGTAGTGTTTTAATGGTGAATGGTATGAGCTTAAAAGGACTCCCTTGATTAAACTGTCACACGACAATGCAGCAAATTGTTTACAGGAAACACCATTAACAAGGCTATGAGATCCGTCATATGTGCACCCCGTGGTGACAGGTTTTTTTTATCCTGAAAAATACAGTCCTTTTCAGCTTGGCAGTTCCATTGATGGGGTTTAAATTAATTAAACATGTGACTTCCTATCTCGGAAGGCAAGCACGCTAAAGAATAAGCCTTGAAAAACAGCACTGTCATGTAGAAGACTACACACAACCCTTTCATAGCTTTTGAATGAATGAATAATATATTTTGAAGATATGATAGACACACGGACAATTCATCCTGCGATTTCAAATGCTGCCTTTTCTCCTCGATGGAGTATGCCCATTGTTGTAGATAGGGTTGCCTTTAGGCCCATTTATATCCGGCGCAGAGAGACACGCACCAATTCCTGCACAAACCGCGCCCCAAAGTGCGGCCAACCGGACGACGCAAATTAAATCGCCGTGCGGCCAGACTTCAATGACCATTATTGGCCACTCTTTCGAACGGGGAAGCATTTTTTGTAAGAAACTGGTAATTGAGTAGATCACTCTGCGCAAACCACTCGGAAGTCTGGTGCCACGTCTGTGGCTTTTTCCATGAAATCTTGCGAAAACTAACGGAAACAGCAATTCGTCGTGAGATTGAGCCAGTGGGTGGCTTTCGTTGGTGCCCCGTTGTTAAAGGTAACAACATCCTCACGTTACACCTTGCGAAGTTGATTGTTGGAGTCAAATATAATTGCCCATGTTTTTTTTTCTCTCCTCAGTTTAACCTCAGAAAGAATTTGTCGCTTCCAATATTTCATATCTGGGAGACAAGCTGACAGCACTGCCGAGTCAGAGACCCAATCGGACTTCACTGAAATATTCTGTTGTGTCATCGGTGTAGAAATGAAAGTTCACCCCAAATTGTCGAATTATTTTGATTTGGCAAATTGTGCCATGGCTATGACCAGGGAGACAGACGACGCGCTATTGAAAAGTAGCAATCGCCACACCCCCAATTTGCTTTGCAATGTGACTGCTCATGTGCAAGTGCCAGATCAGCGCGTGCATTTCTTGCTAAAAGTGGAATGCAAGATCGGGCGTGCATGTTGGGAAGCAGACGTGAAGATTCTGGTCTTTTAAACAACTCAAAATGTTGCGTTATAATTTTTCCTAATTATATGCCATTTGTGCTGTTGGTGTCATTTCATGAGACATATTTCAGTTTTGAACCTCTTGCAAATAGGCAGTGCACCACCCAGCTTCTGGAACATGACAGAATTCTGAGCTTAAAAAAAATACCTTGCAATCGCTGAGGATTCACAGATAAGCTGGTGAGCCATTGACTTCCATTGCCCAAGCTCTGGAGTTCTCGATATACGGTATAAGGCTTTCCTGGGTCAAACAAACTAAGCAAGCGAATCAACTCCGCTGTATGCGAGAATCCAGTTTAATCCACGGGTGGTTGTCTACATTCAAACTCAAGATGTCGGTGATGCCAGCTCAGTCGTCTGATGCAGGGGTGCGACTATCGGAGGCAGGCCGGAGTGGGGGGGGGGGTATGTGGCAGCGTTATGCGACACAAAGGGGCATAGGGGGCTCAGTCGGCCACAAGAAGGGGGGGGGCCCAGAATCAACAGATTAGACAAGTAAAAAAATGTAATGAAAGGGAATAAAACAAAAAAATTCCAACAATTAACCATAAATGGCAAAAAACATTGTGACAGATGAAATAAATTATGTTTCCGAAAAATGCATTGCGAAAATATAGCAGCGCTACTGCTGGTGTTTGTTACTGAACACCACGCTTTTTTCCCAACTGACATGCGCATGAAAGCAAGACGCTTGATAACGCAATTGCGAGCATTGTACCTGTAAACGTTTTATTAATACTGTCACTGTGAGACTGTCTTCCTCTAAACCTAATGCACGGTGCAAATAAAACAATATATGGTTATAGCCTACACATTATTGGAAATGGGTTAAAAACATTCCGTAGCTATTTAAGTAAAAGGGAGTCGGGAGAAAGGAGTGGGTGCCCACAGTCGTATCATCCATACCCCCGTTAAAATAGACCGTTACGCCCCTGGCCCTGATGCAGTGTTAACCCGCTGAGTTATACGGCCAGCTCTGGGAATCTGTTCATTTTCTTGGTTCTTTCGGTAAAGTCACGTAGAAGGGAAATAAAAAAATAAAAAACATAATAAAATACAATTCTCACGACGTTTCGGCCACAACGCAAGCAGACGTCCTCAGGTGAAGAACAGGTCTGTCGGAAAGACAGCGTCTGAATGACGCTGTCTGTCCGACAGACCTGTTATTTTATTATTTCCCTTCTACGTGACTTTACCGAAAGAACCAAGAAGATGAATCCCTGCAGTCACGAAAGCTTTCAATCGAAATTTAATCTCTTCATCGTGATTGCATTTGATGTTTGGTGCTGGGAAACTCAAGACTTCAGACTAATCTCTGAGACGTTAGCGTCAGAGCGATGTCTAGCGGAAGGTCAACAAAGCCCCTTCTGCATCGTCAAGCGTGGCCAGTGATGCGGACTCACGATTTGGCACAGGAACATTTAAGCCTGGCAGAGCGCATCGACTTTTGGCAAAGTTACATAAGCGTCGAGGCTCCGTGTACGCGCTGGGTTCCTCTTCGAGACTCAGTGTTCGAGTCTGTGGTCGGGCAGGGGACTAATTAACGTTACATTTGCCCCGTGCAAATCTTCTCACGAGCGAGTCGTGTCAATTCATGGACGATTGTCCGGGTGAAAATAATAAAATGGCCACCTCTCGTTATTTTCCTTGGTCACTCTTCGCTGCCGGGGCCACTTTTTTGGTGACGAATGGCATATTATCGTCATCGGCCATCTTCTGAACAGTTTCAATTATGCGTTTAACCTGTGTCTGCTCTCTAATCCGCGTGTTCTTCTTTCCATCTCTCAATGTAATTTCACGCATGCATAGATGGAGGCTCCGCCAGACTCAAATGGCCTCCACGAACGTGTGAAACTGTAGACTACGTTTTTTTAAAGAACGAGGTGGGCAATCAAGGAGAGAGAAAAAAGTCAAATGGTGTTCATATGTAAGACAAATTCAAGGTATAATTAAACGCAATGCTACACCCAGGGCAGGAAATGGGCCAAAGGCGCTTGTTGATGGTTCATTTAATTCGTATCGAGCGGTCCCGTCATTGACAAAACCTTCCTGATTAACTGGAACCAACATCGATACGTCAAATTACCTTGCCCAATGTCAGCACAGCGAGGTGCATTACGGACCCCCGAGGGCAGCCGCCGCTGGCGGTCAGCCTCGATGCACGGAATCAGAGCGTTTGCTGCCTAAACCGCCGTGACGCACATTCAGTCGCTGTGCACATTTAATTCGGCGCCGCGGGGTTTTTCGCCGACCGTGCTTCTGACAGAGGCGGCGGCCGCTGCTGTTGACGTGGCCACGCCAAGACAAAATCTCGCTCCGCCCGCGTGCGCCAGACTGCCAGCCAGCCGGCCAGGCCGAGATAGCGTGAAATCCAGCCCCGGGGCAACGAAATAGAGACACCAGCGTATCCATTAACAGGGGTTCGAGCGCCCGGTACTTGATTAGTGAGTAAACAAGTAGGGGGGTGGAGTAAATGGTCTGGCCGAGTGGTGCTGTGGCACAGGGACTCGACTCGCAGTCTGGAAGGTTGTGAATTCATTTCCCAGCTTGGAGTTGATTCGGAATACAGTGCTTCGGGGGGAGGGTGTGAATACAATTTGTACCGCTTTGTGGAAAGGCAACGTAGATTGAGTTATGGATGGACTGGCTCCCACCATAGCAATGTGGAATTTGTGTCACTGGCTCAAGGCCACTAGTGGAGATGAGTACTATGCAACACACATTTAGCTTTTTTTTAGGACATTCTCACGTGTGGGCCAGTTATACTTTTTTTTTAAATAAATGACTATAGCAGGAAAATTTGATGTTAATTTGCTTATATTTTTACTTATTCATCCAGGAACGCCACACTTTAAGGTGTATGACTCTTTTTCAGGAAGGTCCTGCATTGGGTTTTAAAAATATTATCAGCCGAGTAATGAGTATTTTTAGGTTTTTTTTCGGTAAAGTCACGTAGGTAAAAAATTAAAATTAATAAAAGTAAAATAAAAATAAAATAAAATAATATAATATAAAATTACTTTTATTAATTTTCATTTTTTACCTACGTGACTTTACCGAAAAAACCTAAGAATATGAATCCTTGCAGTCACGAAAGCTTCAAATCGAGTAATGAGTGTTTATTATAGACAAATGGGAGGAAAGGAGTGCATCTGGAGAAAAATCACACATGCGAGAGGGCAACACTCTATCCCCATAAGATGGAAACAGATGGCAATTAGTCAACTTGCTGCACTGCCTTCTACTGGCGAGCCAGGGTGTGGCTCCTCCATGAGGGGCATTTAACAACATCTGCACGGTGATTCACCAACCCTCCACAGTTCTGGATTGCAGGCCACGTGCATATCCACCACCGCCCGGCTGGAGAACAATCCATGTATACAATAGCCGATGGTCAACTTGTAGGCATTCACTATTCACTGTGTGAGAACACTATGAGTTGCCCTGTCTCCCTTCCTCAATACATGCAAAACCATCACAATCGTCATCCTCTCCACTCTATTATTGTCGAGCAAAACCAGAAACATCGCAACCCTCTAGTGTGACCTTGTTTAACGGGGGGGGATGGGGGGGGGGCATATGCAAAATCAGAGGGGGGTATAACACCAGTCGATGTCAAACAAACAATTCACAAATGTTGACAATATACACATTGGGGGGGGGGGGGGGGGGGTCGGCGGGGGTGCGATGGGGGGAGTGTTCTCACTCAAGCCCTCCCTCTGGGTCACCGGGCATCATCAGCAGCAGTGGCGGCGGTGGGGGCACGTGACTTACTTTCAGGTACGCCACGAGCTTGAGTGAGATGGTGGCGAGATAGAGGGAGTTCATGACAAAGTCCATCAAGTTCCACCAGTCGTGCACGTACTCCGAGAAGCCGCCATCCCACATCTGCTTGATCTCAGCCCAGATCAATCCTGCGCGTCGCACACGGGAAGGAACGCCGTCCGTTAGACCGTCCACCGCGGAAATGGAGCGACGAATCGAGCTTGCGCGCGGAAAACCTGACGGATTGTTGGATCGCAGGAAATGTGAGAGAGATGTGGCGATGGCTCGCGTGGAGGCTTTCGTCCGGCAGTAGAAAACTCGTGGCTGATGATGATCACGCAGGGGTGATGAACGCATGTGGCAGGTTGCGCATCGTGTGGTTAATGTTGTGGATGCTGTAGTTGCTTGACAGTACCCAGGCCAAGGTTGCTGTCAAGGTCGTGAGGCTAGAGCCCACATCAGGCAACTTTTAATGCTGTGTTTCCATGACACCGGCAAGTGTGCTGGCTTTGTGTACCAGGCTATTGCCAGGATCTGCTCACGTGTATGTTGAACTTATTTCGCACGGTTGGCTACGTACGGTGCAGGGAAAGGACAACAAACTAAACACAAAAAGGAGTTCTAAAAAAATAAATGTTCAATCTAGATCAGTGGTTCTTAACCTTGTTAGAGGTACTGAACCCCACCAGTTTCATGTGCGCATTCACCGAACCCTTCGTAATTGGAAAAATGAAATATGATTTTTTCAAATTCAAAACGTAGGTATATGTTTTACTGGTGCACAGAATGAACCGTGCATCAACATCACTGTGTTCAAAGAACAAAACCAGCAAAACATGATTTTCACACAAAAACAAAAACATAATAATGAATACTTACTGCAAATCACTGTGACTTCTACTGTTGCCTTTCAGAGACCAATTCAGAAATGCGCGGCTTCACCTTGGCAAGTGCCACTCTCATGTCATCTAGATTCTAGATGTAAAAGTGCATAGCTCCAATGGCTTCATAATAGGAAGAGTGTTCCAGACGGCCACAGCAGTGCATCTGAGAGGGCGGGATGCAGTGACCGCCTTTGTTCGATGGCTAACCGAGAGTCACTGCTGCTAGGATGACTGGAGATGGTTTATGCTACGTTCCCATGACAATCCTTACACCGGTTTGACCTGACGTCAAGCGAGTTTGGTTACACGGGGCTTTCCACTACGGAGCTGCAGTACTCTGACCTGGGATGCCTTCGGAACCAATGTGGTAATCGTGGCTGATGAATTGTGGGCATACAGATTTGGGCTGTACTGTTGATTCCAGAAACTAAATGGGCCATTCCTGGACCACTCAGCGCGGATGGCAGTGGTTGTGGAAACTTAGCACAAGTATCCTGGGCTGAAGGCTTAGTACAAGGAGGCAAATAGGTGACTCAGCTGGCAAGTGCTATCCTGTGTCAGAGAAATTAATCAATTCTGCTGAGAGGCTGGGTTTGAAACCTGAGCAGACCAGTTTGACTTGACACACACTGAATTTAATTTACGAGAAAAAGTCTGTGCATTATTGAGTGTTAAATGTTGCAATATTGATCAAATAATGACAAAATTAGATGAGTTATTATTTACCAATACGTGGTTGGATGATTGCAATTGTGATGTGTTTAGATGCTGGTTACTAAAGGTGTTTCCAGGTAAAGTGGATGATGATGATGTTGGTGGTGATGATGATAATGGCGTTGGTGGTCTTGGTGTCGACAGTTGGTAGTGACAATGACGATTCTGATGAATGACCGAAGCAATTCGGAGAAGCTTTACGATGCCTCATCCCTGGGTTATTCCCTGCCACCGGTAGGGGTTTAGCTTTACCCGGCAGCTGATGCCAGTAACAAAATTAGAAGAATAATTGAAAAATATAAATGACAAAAGCATTAAGGCCAAGAAAATGTGCTCGTGATGAACATGAATTTTAATGCAGGATACACGAATCAGATTCCAATTATACCCTTCAGCAATTAAAGTGAGAGCAGATGTTTAAATACAACAATTAATTAGCTTCAACTTCAAGGGGTTCTCACACACACACGCACGTCTACGCATGTGCTGTGTTCAGTTATACGACATTATCCACTCCACGCATCTCCGCTGAGTTTCGCAGTTGGGCTGCACGGCGTTTCTGATGCGTTTTCGGGTTGTTACTGCTGCGTGTCGTTCCGCACGATGTCCGACGTTTTTCTCCACGTGCTGGGAGCTTCTACAGGAATGTCATTCCTTAATGAGCCCAGAACGTCATGCGGGGTGCAACCCGAAAACGTGCCAACCTGTCGACCCGTTGACTCTTTTTTTGAAGGCTGAGCCGACCTACTGGCGGCTAAGTTTGTGTTCCAATAACAATACAATTGCCACAGGCGCTGTATGTGTGTGTGTTGAACTTATTTCGCAGCGTACGGAGGTGCGGGGGAAGGACAACAAATCTAGATTTGAAGTTTCCTTGACTGCAGGGATCCATACTCTTTGGTTCTTTCGGTAAAGTCACGTAAGGTATAAAATAAAATAAATCACGACGTTTCGGGCGCAACACAAGCGTCCGTCATCAGGTGACTGAGCGGACCTAGCGGTGATTCAAGAGACGGGTGAGATATCACTCGGAATTGAACTCGGATGACCGGGTTTGCACTGATTGCGGGCACCTTTGAGGTCCGGGATGTCACACAAGGCGGTGGTTGTGGTTTAGCAGCACGCCCGGACGTCTTTGTCTGCCCAATGCTGATGTTTTATGTACCGTACCAGGTACTCGTTCCAGTACAGGACCGCTTGTGTTGCGATCGAAACGCCGTGGGCTTTTTGATTTTAATTTAGATTTTTTGTTTTATATCTACGTGACTTTACCGAAAGAACCAAGCATATAGGCATTCACAACTTACTATTATTTTACAGCCCTTCTGTAAATCCGCTGCTGGAAGAAGGCCTCCCCCATACACAACGAGTTGGGGCACCGGCGTTGTTTGTGACCATACTTCACCGCCCCCCCCCAGGCTCAGGTTTCGACTCTCGCCCGCCCACAGAGGTCGCAAACGGGTTTTGATTCCTTACCCGTACCCGGCCGCACCAGGGTCGCAAATGGGTACCGGTACCCGGCCGGGTACGGGTACCCATTCCCTACCCGTACCCTACCCAAAATGAGTGACAAACGGTTACTCACCATCTTCTTGGTTCTGTCGATAAAGTCACGTAGAAGGGAAGTAATAAAATAATAAAAAATAAAACATAATAAAACAATTCTCGCCTCGACAGACCTGGTTTTCACCTGAAGACGGCTGCTTGCGTTGTGGCCGGAACGTCGTGAGAATTGTTTTATTATGTTTTATTTATTATTATTTTATTACTTCCCTTCTACGTGACTTTACCGAAAGAACCAAGAAGATGAATCCCTGCAGTCACGAAAGCTTTAAATCGAAGGTTACTCACCAGTGACTCACGGCCTACCCGTACCCGTACCCGGCCGCACCAGGGTCGCAAACGGCTACCTGTACCCGGCCAGAGGAGTTTGTGAGAGCACAAAAATGCGCGTTGCTCCACCGCGCCGCCCAATCTACTCCACGAATATGTCTACGCCACGCACGATGAGGATTGGGGGGGGGGCAAGCAAAGCTTGAGAAGAAGGCACGCACCTAATATCCAGGGCAGGATCATCCACTCGACGAGTGTCGGGGACGGCCCCTGCATGTTGGGGTCGGTGCGCGCGATCTGCTGCGACGCGAGCAGCAGCAGGAAGAGGAAGGTGAGGTACGACGCCGTGTGGCAGATGAACTTGATGAAGGGCTTCCTCAGGAAGAAAGCCATGCGGCTGCGCGGCGCGAGCAGGTAGCACACGGAGAAGAGTGGGAAGAGCAGCCCCAGCGTGGCGCACGTCACGAGCTTCACGGCCCAGTGGCGGCGTCGCCAGCCGGGGAAGCCGTCGTACCACAGCGACGCCAGCAGCTGCTGGCAGTTGGGCTGCGCGACAAACTGCGGACGAAGGGCAAAGGACGAAAAACGACAAAGGTCCCCCGTGAACTCCGGAGTTGCGTTCAGTTTGTCTTCTTGGGTTTTTCGGTAAAGTCACGTAGAAGGGAAGTAATAAAATAATAAATATAAAACATAATTTTTTAAATTTTATTATGTTTTATTTTTATTCTTTTATTACTTCCCTTCTACGTGACTTTACCGAAAAAACCAAGAAGATGAATCCATGCAGTCACGAAAGCTTTAAATCGAAATTTACGCGTTCAGTTTGTTTGGCGAGATTACTGACGGAGAAAAACATTCGCCGATGAGGTTGCTGGATGATGTACTCCCATGCCACGCTCCCCCGCTGAGCTACCACCTTGAGTTTGCGTGGTCGGTGGTGGTGTTTTTGGCAAGAGCCCTCCATAAACACCGTGGAGTCCATTCATAGCAGCCCGAGCAAACATTGTAATTTTGTTACGCCATTACATTTCATCAAGGTGGACTGAAGGTCATACGATAAAATACGTGGATTAGTTTTGCCATGAACAAATATAATAACGTTCAGGCCCATCAGCCTTTAGACCGACAGGTTTTTCCTTGATAGAGAGGACACCAGGACTTGTGACGCATGCAGTGAAGGCTTAGCAATGTCGCCATCCCAGAAGAGCTATTAATACGTGGTGGCAACAGTAGCAATGCTGCCTCGAGATTTCTGGGAACAATCCTCGGGATTAACTATATCTCACAAAGTATCGATCAATGGAGGCAAAGCCAGACGATACTTGGGCAGTGGGTTATACCAAGAGTCATAAATCAAAGCAGCTCTCTACCCAAATTAATTGAGGGGTCATGCTCATCTCCATTGATGGCTTTTAACCAGTGCTGGAAGTTCCAGATTTCCATGGCAAGCAACAGGCCCTCCGCAAGATAATGCCTGTCGACCTTTCAGCAGTGAATAATGCCAAAGCACCAATTTTATTTTGTATTACATATCAATATTTAACAGCATCTAGAAGATATTAAACACATGGAAGATGCACAGATGAGCTCAAAGCAGCATTGATGGACATGCCACGGAGGTGAATGGGCATTGCTCATGCTGATGACAAAACTTTATACTCACAGATGCGTGGGGTCAAATGCAAGGTCACCAGAAAGGTCTAGCACCAAACTTTAATTAACGAGCGTGATACTTTACTCCGTGAGCAATTGCCAAGGCCATGACATTTTACAGTAAACTCAAATGGGACCTAATTTTCACGGTCAAATGCATGTTCCTTAGCCACATTGGCCGGAAACTTGAAAAAATTGCGTAGTTTTTTTTTTTTACAATCAATGGGATCCACATGAGGAGCACCAACCGACCTGTCGCCAGCATAAACTCAATGCGATGTTAATTGAGAGACGCGTACATTGCAAGCATTTGCTTCTGGTTTAGATTATTTGGCTGCTATACATGTACACACAATAAGCCAGTTTCGTTGAGCTATCATTTGTGGCCAGGTCGCTTACGAAGTGGGCCTTACCTGGTAAAATAAAAATAATAATCTTTAGTTCATTAAACCCGCAGAATACGGTCGCTCTAGCCAGAATCCTGACAGCTAATCAGGGCCGAGCCTGCATCGCGTGCTTTGATAGGTGATCAGCGGCTCGTACGTAAGTAACCCAGACGTGACAGAGCGTGGTACAGTGGCGAGATGTTAACTCCCTCACCTGGTACACAGGAGGTCGTGAGTTCGAGCTAGACCCTGACGCCTATATATTTGGAGTTTGCGTGTCTCTCTTCCCATGGTCGCGTGGATTTTTCTCCCGTTCCTCCAGTTTTTCCCTTCCATATTTAGAATCAACGTGCGTTTAGATTATTTGGTTGCTATACATCTTCACACGCAAGCTAATTTGTTGAGCTATCATTTGTGGCCATGTCGCTTTTGAAAAATAGCTATATTGCCCAATGGTGCCTTACTTGGTTAATGTAGAAATAATTTAGTTCATTAAACCCGCCGAATGCGGTCGCTTTAGTTCAGGGGTTGGCAAGCAAAATAACAAGAAGAGCCATTGCTTTCAAATTCGGTCAAAAACTCAATATTTCAAGAGCCGCAACGCAATGCGAATACAAGACGGTTGCCCTTAGTAAATAATAACATCACGAAGCAATCCTTCAAGAGCCGCACGCGGCTCCGGAGCGCACAGGTTGCCGACCCCTGCTCCAGTCGGCTTTTTGAAGGCTAAGCAAGACCGAGCCTGCATCGCGCGCTTGGACTGGCACGCGATGCAAGTTCAAGTTCATTGATTAGGTATAGCCCTGTGAGCCATTCGGCTCTTGAATCGGGTGCAACCGCAACAAACAAAAAACAAAAACATGAACAAAAAACATCTTAAAGTGAATATGTGACTGAGTCAAACAGAAAATCCAAGAAAAGACCGCAAAATATTGCAGAAAAAAACACTGTACACCAACGCTGTGTGCAAAAATCTCAGTGGGATGCAATTCAAACAACCAACAACAACAACCACAAGACAACTTAGATTAAGGCCATCAGTCTAACTTTGTACTACAACAAACAAACATGGCTAAACCAATACACTTTTCGAAATCACCAAAATAAAGCCATGAAACCAATGAAACAGTGATCATAGGAACTGTGCGCGGGGGGGAGGGGGGCCCGTGGCACGCACCTCCTTCTGGTGGTACTTGATGGCGAGCTTGAGCCTCTCGAGGTTGAAGGCGTCCGGCGTCTCGGGCGCACCGTCGCTCTCCTCCTTGTAGTTGAGCACGATCTCGAGCTCGCGCGTGCTGCGCGTCTGGTCGAGCAGCTCCTTGGCGAACTGCTTGCACTGCTGCGACAGCTCCTCGTACTCGGCCTTGAACTCGTTCTCCACGCGGCTCAGCTCGCACAGCTCGCAGCTCAGCGTGAACGCCGTGAGGAAGGGGTCCTCGCTCGCCAGCGCCACCAGGCACGGGCTTGCGAGGGCGCGGTAGACCGCGAGTCGCGAGCGCGAGTGCCGTAGGCCGTCGGCCTCCGAGCCGGCGGCGCACTGCAGGCAGGCGCAGCGAACGGCGTGCGGCCGGGGCACCGAGACGCCACGTGTCAGCAGCAGCTTGATGAGCTCGTAGTTGTTGGTGTGCGCCGCCAGGATGATGGGCGTCATGTCGGGCGTGAACTCGGACGAGTGACCCTCGGCGAATTCCGGGAGCTGGTCGGCAGAGATAGACGCGCGCGTTAGGAAACAACGTGAGTTCTGGTGGTCGCGGTGCACGGACTAGGGGAGGGCCCACAGTGCGGTGACCCCTATGGCCCCCACGACTTCGTTTCACACGGCCAAAGGCCACTTTGAGGCCTAACCGTATCTAAACGGCCGAGCAAACTATACTTTACTTTTCGATTTAAAGCTTTCGTGACCGCAGGGATTCATCTTCGTGGTTCTTTCGGTAAAGTCACGTAGATGGGAAGTAATAAAATAATAAAAATAAAACATATTAAAATAATTCTCACGACGTTTCGGCCACAACGCAAGCAGCCGTCGTGGCCGAAACGTCGTGAGAATTATTTTATTATGTTTTATTTTTATTATTTTATTACTTCCCTTCTACGTGACTTTACCGAAAGAACCAAGAAGATATACTTTACTTGTTGTCGCGAGCAAACCAAGCCGCACTAATCGGGTGTTCGACGGGGGGATGTTTTTTGATCTGGCAACAACGCCGCATTCATAATAATTGGAGCGTGCCCAGTGAGTTCTGTCACAAGAGCTTGTTTAATGTCCCCTTGGCCTTTCTGTGATTATCAACCATCAGGCGCATGCGGAATAATTCGTGGTATTCATTTTCATACGAATAGAAAAGATTGGTAGTCGTGCAAATGCAGCCAAAATAGGAGTGGAGCTGAGGTACACTCCACTGTGATGAGTGCAGTACAAGGTTCCAATTGGTGCCTCGTCGTAAATTACCAGCCAAGATCGCCTTTAAAGTCATCCTCATTCATCAAAACCTTCAGGGACACGACACCGAGCATAGAGCCAAGTGAAAACGCATCCGTCACTACTTCTCAGGTGAACACAGTCATGCATTGCAAGCGGAAACTTAACGTCTCACTTAATATAGTAGTAGGGTTTTACCCTTTTAAACTGGTACAAAACTGACACCTTTATTCAAGGCATCATGTTTGTAATAACCACAACACAAGTAGTCAAAAAAGCAAACAAAAAGAAGCAACTCTGTTTGAGTTGTACGCCTTCTGGTGTCATCTGGTCCAACACCAATGGAGACTAGGCTCTAAAGAAAGCCGTCTCGGGTGTGGACCAATCAACTTCAAGGACAGTGCATATTATTATCATTATCAGAGTTGCTTCTTTTTGTTTGCTTTTTTGACTACTTGTGTTGTGGTTATTGCAAACATGATGCCTTGAATAAAGGTGTCAGTTTTGTACCAGTTTAAAAGGGTAAAAACCTACTACTATATTTTGCCACTGGTAAAAGAGATCTCATAATGTCTCACTTAATGTTTTCCGGATCACAAGTCGACCGAGAGGTGGCCCATGCCGAGTTAGGCACTGCCTTGGCAAAGATATGTACTGGATGTGGTGCCTGGGGTGATGGAATATTTTCTGGGTAACTGACCCGGACAAGAACCCGGCTGAAGTTAAGCCCCGGGTTGTAACCGTGCGCTTTTACGGAGGCCCGCCGACCCCCCTGAAGATATCTGTGCTGAGCTGTGTCCATAAGAAATGAGAGAAAGTAGCAAGGCACACACCTCGATGGCCCATGACAGAACCGCGCGCTGCCACCAACAGCTGGCGACGGCGCCTGCCCTCATCCCTCGCCATGTCACGCGAATGCACGCACCGCGTACGGAGATTACGGCGCCGCACAGGTGATCCTTTCATCGCTGGGTGCCCCCCCCACCCCACCGCACACTACCAACTATGCTTCACATCCTACGGTCACAGAATGACGCGGCCACCTATAATACAGGGTGCTTAAATTATTTTTTAAACGGAATTTGGGTTTTGCATTCCGTTATTCCATTTGTACGCTGTACCAGTTCTTGTCGATGTCTCTTCTCGCTTGAGAAGGAGATGTACAGGGCGCTTCAAAAATGTTTGAACACTTCTGAAAATTTGCAACAACGCCATGAGAAATGCGCCTTCGGGCTCTGGAAACCACCTGGAGAAGATTCCAGGCACGCATTGACAATGATGGCGAACAAGTGGGAGACTCTTTGACTAGTTGAAGCTCTTAATGTACATTTATTATCAAGTGTGTTAATCGTTCTATTTCCATTAAAAACGATAGTCTCGTGTAAGTGTTAACATTTTTTTGAAGCAGCCTGTATTTTCGTCTTTAATCAGGAACGAGTGCTCTGAGTTGTGCAGGCTTGGCTCTGAGCAGTATGGGCTGATGCATTCCAAAGACCGCTCAAGTGATTGTTGGAGCTCCTCCCATCCCCATAGGGACGTGGCATGACGAACGCGTGCGTAATGCGTTTACGTATTAAACATGAAGTGCAGTGTATTGTTTGAAATGCTGAGCATTGGTTCGTAATAATAGTCTTTACTTACAGTCCCTTGTCAATCCAATGCCAGACGATGCAACTCGCTGGCGATGCGAGTTGCGGTCAGGATTTGATATCGTCTCATAGCACTATGAGATAACCAATGAGCCACTACTTTCCCATATCGGTAAAGCCAAGAATACTAGTTAAAAAAACACGATCACATATATTAGAAACGGACCCAATAAAAAAGTGGCCAAACATTGAAGCAGGACCTCCTGTAGATAGTTTTTTTTAGGCTCAGTGAGGCTTTCGTGTACAACTGCAGTTGGGACTATATCACATTCATGGTGTCTGTTTAAAAATTCCATTAAAAAAACCTTCCACATCAATAAAATATTCAACAGCCTTATTACAATGTGTTCATTTGAGGTAATCATCACGAAACTCAAGCTACACTTTCACCCCTGTCAAATTTATGTCAGAAACACTTTTTTGTATTTGCATACGAGGAAAAGTGCCTGCGAATAAATCATCCATAATCTCGGAAGCAAAGCAGGCTTGAGCCTGGATAGTGTTCGGATGAGCGACCACCATGCATGCCAGGTTGTCATAGGCTGCTATGGGGACTGTGCTGCATGGTGAGCAGTGGAGGGCAGTGCAGCCAAATACATTGCACTTCTATGTTAACATATATATGCCCCCTCCCTCCTCCAACCCCGCGGTGACCAGCGTGGTGAAGTATGGTCAAAAAGCTCACACGACACCCACGACGTGGGGAGGCCCTCACCTGCCTCTGTGGACCGACAGAAATGGCCGCACGTGTAGATGAAATTGTCCGAGAATGCGTAAAACAAATTAAGGAAGTCTTTCTATCGAACGTTGACGCAAGGCCACGACTTTTTTGCTGGCTGGCCATCATTAGTGCCACCTGCCTGGATAAAACCCCCTCTGCAGCAATGGCACATCTCGTTCTGCTCCTGTCCAACAAGGGACAAAGGAGCGTCCCAGATCATTGGGCTGTCGACCAGACATCACGAACGATGGCAAAAGAAATCTGCGGAAGCCTTTGTGTCGTTCTCTAGCACACACGCGCGCGCGCGTATGCACACACACACACACAGGTGCACGCATCATTCGGTGGACAGCGAGCTATGAATAACTCCTCCGCTGCCAGGGTCATTGCTGTGCTCATGCATTCGCATGAATTATGAGGAGCATGGTTTTCACACAGACGAGGTCACACTACGTAACAGAATGAGCAGTGGATATCGGATGACCCTAACGGGTTCTTGAAAGAGGTCTTTTGAGTTAAGAGACAAAATCAAGGGTTAAACTTCAAGCGGTCACTCTACGTGTGTTATGTGTGTTATACTTCCAATTAAGGGGGAGTGGTGGTGCAGTGGTTTGCGCGCAGCGTACTCTGAACTCAATGACCTGAATGTAATTCTTGACCACGGCTAACATCAGTGATGAGTGACAGCTGAACAGGTCCTGGGACCTCTCGTTCACCGCCTACACTAACCTGGACCGATCAGCGCGGTAATGTAATGGGAAAAATAGAAATCCATCATTCGGAGACCTTCCAGCAAGTGGAATTATAAAGGGATGAAAAAGTATTACTTATAAATTATGATTTTAGTTATCAATGGACACTAATGTTGTGACAGTGGGATATAATGGCACAATTAAATAAACCGACTGCTGTAACAATGCAGTGACACCTTTTCAACGACCAATAAACCAAAACGTAGGAAACCAACCAAACTGTCAGCGTACCAAAATAAAATGCTATAAACCACCGCACGTCCTACCACAAATGAACCACAAATGCTGGCACACGCCTCAAGAAACCCAATAAACCCAATGCCGCTGTACAGCACTGCGATGAGGAACGCCAACACCATCGCGGACGTGGAGACTCGGCAGTGCCCCGCAGCCAACGGGTAGACTTTGGGAGAGTGGGGGGACAGCTTGACGTGATTCCCTCGGTGCATGTCTCAGGGTTCCAGCCCGTGGTCTTACATGGGAAACAATGGATGTAGCATTCGCACGGTTCAAAAGTGCTCCATGAGCGAGCAGTGCTAATTTGTTTTTTTTCGGTAAAGTCACGTAGGTAAAAAAATAGAAATAAATTAAATGACGACGTTTCAGGCGCAACACAAGCGTCCTTACATTACGCGGTGTGCCTTCACTAATTAATTAAAATTAATTAAATCATTAAATTAATATTCTTAGGTTTTTTCGGTACATATACGGAGTGGTATCTCTTGTAATCTCTCATTTACGTGATACAGCTGTCGTGGCTGTGACGGTTCCACCTGAAGACGGAAGCTTGTGTTGCCTCCGAAACGTCGTGATTTAGATTTTATTTCACTTTTATTAATTACAAATTTTTACCTACGTGACTTTACCGAAAAAAACCTAAGAATATGAATCCTTGCAATCACGAAAGCTTCAAATATAGAATCAACAAATTAAATCGTGATTTAATTTATTTTTTACCTACGTGACTTTACCGAAAAAACCAAAGAGTATGAATCCTTGCAGTCACGAAAACTTCTAATCTAGAATCAGTGCTAATTTGTGGGCGATTATGGTGGCGGGTAATCATAATAATAAAATGTCTATTTGCTTTAATTTTGCTTGGTCGCTCTTAGCTGTTGGGCCACAGTTTCTGTGATTGATAGAATGTCATCATCT